TTTAGATTTAAAAAATTTTTCTATATTTATTTTACCAAAATCATCATTATATCTTTATCATTTAATTTATCTTATACAATTTCAAAGAAATTTTTTACAATGTATTCTTGCATGTACATCATCAAAAACAAATTCAATTCAAACTATACTTGATACACATGAACTGGTAATAAAACAACTATCATTAGGTATTAAAACATATAAACGACAATTCGAAACAACTATTGCTATTAAAAAACATCGACCATTAACACTTGATTGTCTGTATAGATATCAAGAACAAAATGTTCAAATTATACTTGATTATTTACCATTATTACGAGATAAAGAACCTTCATTACTTATTCATTCACTTTGGTCGATGTTTATTCAATATTTTAATTGTTTATTTGATGATCTTTTTATGTCTTAAAATGAAAGAAAAATAAATTTATATATATATATGGATTCATTTTGTATATAAAAATAGATGACAAGAATTTTTTTAAAAATATTTTCAGGCTAAAATGTAAATTTGTCATCATCATTGTTCAAAGAAGGATGAATTTTTGCAGAAAAAATCGGTTCATTAAATGTTCATTCTTACATCTATTCATAGAGCTTTAAATATTTAAAGACGTACTACTTTGAATAAATGCCATTGAATTTCTGGAATTGATTTAATATGTTTTAGAAATGATTTTTTCTCCTGAAAGTACAGATAGATTGTTGATGAAAGAAAGAAATCTCTTAAGACTAAAATTATGATATTCGAATAATCTTTTAAAGCGAACATCAAACAATAAACATGAAGAAAAATTCTTCTAAGTAAAAAAAAAAATTTAGGGTTCTTTCTACCATATTTTTTTATTGGGTCAATGATTTCATACTTTCTAAAATGTACCTTTCATTCGAAGAAAAACCTTGAAATCAAATAACATTAACCTTTAACACTAAATTATTCGTTTCATAACGATTAACTTTCAATGCTATTGCATTGCATGTTCTCTCATACTATAGTTCACATATTGGTGTGATATTATTTTATTAATCGAACGTCTCAAATATGAAAAGCATACAAATAATCGAATTAAATTAACCAACATCTAAAGTAGTCACTCGTTTTTCTTGCTGATCTAGGCAAATAACACTTTTTTTCACAGATCCAGAATCACTAGTTATATAGATCAATTTCATACGTTGTTTGAACAGAAGAGCAAAACTAAGTACATAAAATTTTTGTTTTTCATTTGAGTATCCAGTATATTTCGTCATGTCTATCTAGAACAATATTTTAATCTCGAACAGTAGAAAAGAATAAATCTATCAATATTTGATACACGCATTGATTTATTAATTTAATCTTTTATATTTGATCGAGTTTGTTCTGTTTAATAATTATCATCATTAACCTTTCATGATTATCATTGTTGGGTGATTTCGTTGCTATTGTGAAGCTTAATTTGATTCACTCGGAGAAGATGCCCTAGAACTTTGTTTTTCATTTAATTCATTCTTTTCGTAGATGAATCGCATGCATTGAGCACACTCTCTTTATATGCATATAAAAATATTGATTTGAGTAATAAATGAATGAAATGGAGAGAACCAATTTTTTTTAAATGTTTCAACAACATAATAGTGAGATAAATCGAAAAGAATATATATTGTCATGCTGTTACCACTAGCAGCTCTGACATGCTTTTTACTTGAGCTATGTATCAACCCATCAAATTTCAGTTGTAAATTATGATTAGCTTTATTCTTGGAAGAGAGCTGGTCGAAAATCAGCTTTATTTTCAAGACATTTTCTTGGCTTGCTATTGAGAGCAATGCCTTTACATTAATCCATTCTTCTATGTACACGGCATCTTATGAGTATCCCAATAAGTGCACTTTGTTGATTTGATTATTTTTTCTTTTTTGGAGTCTTACTGTATGGAATTTATTGTCTACAACAAGTTTTTTTGTAACGAATAGATTAACAATGAAAATATCTTCAACGCTTCATCCATGCGACGCATTGACTGGTCATTATACATATTCATTCCGAAGCAAAACTAGTTTCAAATTGCAATGTGTATAAATTAGTTAGTAGTTACCTTTAAAAACTAGTGCGGCATAATTATTCGTAACAAATGAACGTATATTCAATATTTCAACAACCATGCACACTTAATTTTTTCGCTGTCGACCAAGCTTGTCGGCTTCTCTTGTCGAGAATAGTAGAACATGTTGCAGCCAGGCTAAGCTGTGCACAATTCATTATATTCTTTCAACATAGCTTATATATTTTGATCGAACAACTAAGTCTTTGCCAATCGGATAGGTTTTCGCATATAACATCTGCATCGGAATCAATGACCTTGAAAATCTTCAAACTTCAAATGTCTCAGTCTATGCAGAGAACTTGGTAAAGAAATTAACCTGACCTAACATTCGTGCATTCTTTGACTTTCATGGAAAAGATCTGAAAACGTTGGGATAAAAGCTGCACAAATCTATTGCAGTTCCATGTGCTTCATAAATACGAAAAATAGCTGAAAAAAAATCGATCAATCCTATGCAGTGATCATCATTTTTCTTGTTGTAGATAGAAAACAACGAACATGCGTTGCATCTGCTTGTACTTTATTTTTATTACTGTTGAATTGGGCATTCGCGTTCAGAGCGAAATGTTCACATCGACGACTCATCTTATTCAATCATTCAAGACTGAAATGGAATTGGCAAAACAGTTGAAACTCTATTTGAAAAAAGAATACGAGCGACTGGCTCGCGTGGAAAAGTAATATAGACATATTTCTTTTTTGATAACCAATGAATTTGTGTTTGGAAAAAGGTTTCTCGATGGCATCCAAGATGAAATTTCTGAAGCTCACGGTAAAGCAGTACAATACTTCAGCAATCCAATCAATGCCTATCACTTTACTAAACACCTCACTATTGAATGGTATCAAATCAAAGACATTGCATCACCAGGTACATTCATTGAACCAATGTTTATTGATTGATTTGATTTGATTCGATGATTGTCTAGCTCTAAGCCAGATTGTGAGTAGCAAATGGTTATTTCCATCAGTTGACGATTATATCGGCAAGTGAAATGTCCGTGGTTATGCATCTACTTTGTATGTTTGTATTTTTTAAATAGGAATCACTATTACTCTACTACGTTTGCAAGATGTCTATCAATTGAAAACAAGTCAATTAGCAAATGGAAACATCAATTCAAATTTTCCATCAAAAAAGTTGACCCGTATGTGATTGGAGTCTTGTATAATGTTTGTCGCATTATTTTCCTTTAAGCATTTGAATGCTCTGATATTGGTCGTGTGGCTTATATACATAAGGATTTCTATCATACATTAATGTGGATGCAAGAAGCACTTGATCGTTTCGATCGAGAAAATAATGATGAATCTCTAAGTAAAATCGATATTTTGGATCATCTCGCTTATTCAACATCTCAGGTAAGCGTTTGCATAATAAAGTCTATGCTTCTTGCGAGACGATATACCTCGTTTTATTTTACCTGTTCAGCAAGGTAATATCATGCATGCGCTTGTGTTGACAGAACAAATACTTGCTATTGGTATACAAGACTATGTCAGAGTGATGAAAATGTCTTGATTTATTCTTTTTGTAGATCCGGATCATGTTAAAGCGAAAAACAATAAAATTTACTATGAATCTCTGATACAAAATCAATCGTTGGTACATGATTCACAAACAGACGATTTGGTTTTATCGAATATGAGTGACTCAACCGTTAATAATGTCGAACGATCTTTAATACAAAATGATTCAAACGAGAGCATGAATTTTCAAGTAAAAAATCAACGACCGGGAAACAATTTAGAATCTCTTGAAACATACGAAAAACTCTGTCGACAAAAACATGCAGAGGTGAAATAGCGAACTCGTCGACGTAACGTTTGATTGTTCTGTTTTGTTTAGCTTAGTCCAAAACGTCAAGCTAGATTATTTTGTCGATATCGTCACAACAACCATCCATATCTTATATTGGGACCTGTAAAAGAAGAACAGCTACTTGATGAACCAGCCATCTTTCTCTTTCACGATATTGTAAGCGATACCGACATGAAAAAAATCAAAGCTTTGGCCACATCCCAGGTAAGGAAATAAAAGAGACAATGTGTGAACCTAAACTGACCTTTTGACATCAAATAATTAGGCCTTTAGAACAGTTAAAATGAATTTTTGTTTTACAGTTACAACGTGCTCTCATACGCAACATTGCCAACAAGAACTTAGCACCAGCTTCCTACAGAATCAGTAAGAGGTATTATATTGTTTGTCATGCAATTATTCAGTTATATAGAGAATATTCTGAGGAAAAACTATCTCTTGTGGAAGGACAAAAAAAGTCAAATTTAGGCCAACAAAAAAATGCTTCGTTTCCGTCATGCTTGACAGTCTCAAAAAAGCTTTTAGTTCCATTAAATTGTAATTAATTATGCGAATATAATGATTCACAGTGAGAATGCTATTTATTCTGTGGTCATTTGTGAAATAACCACCCTTGATCGGCATGTGTGTTCGGTTCTGTCTAGATCGATTTTTCAAGCTAAGTTTAAATATCTAAAAAGGGAAATTTTCACAATTCACCGAAAACAATCACAAAAAAAGGTTTGGTATGAAATAAAAGAAACGACCGGAAAAGTTTCAAAATTTCATTCCGTACGAAAAGAAAACGAAAAATTCTTCGTTGACACTGAATGAAATCATCAAACCAACTTTTTCAGTCAAATTGCATCAAGCCTTTAGAATGCAGCAGGAAGAACTTTGTAATATTGAATACGTTTTGAAAGTTTTTATTCATTGAAGTTTCTCGATGTTCGCTCTTCATTGTGATTGTGCAGGTGAAAAAAGTATATGTAGAAAATTCTATAATATTGAGATTTGAGTTCACCAGTTACATATTGACTAATAGGTATGAAAAGAGAAATAGTCCTGTTTTCTTTTCTTTGTCTATTTTCGATTGTCTATGTCAAAAAATGACTACTGAGCATATTGATGACAGGTAAATTCCACCTTTTACTGTTATATTTATTCACTTGGGTGTCTAATGCCGTCAAATGTTTGTCTATGATATGCTTCGTTTGAATGTAACATTTACATTGGCTATATGTACATATTTGCCTTGTTCTACTGGCGCTTGTACTCTGGATGGTTCCCTAGTTTTGATTTATATTACTCTAATTTCAGTGCTTGGATAAGCGATAAAGATTCACCAGTAGTAGCTCGTCTCTCTCAACTGATTAGTGCTTTGACAAATTTGACTATGGAAACGACAGAAGATCTTCAGGTTATTATTTTATCTTCGATTTTATTATTATCAATAGGTGAATTACATCCTAGGTTGCAAATTATGGCGTTGGTGGTCACTATAGTCCTCATTTTGATTTTTATCACGTAAGTTGTCGTTTCTTAGACTTTTTCGAAATAATCATTGTCGATGTATTGCATTTAGAAAAAGGAAATGTCTATTTATCATATTCAAAAAGGTAACTATACAATTTATTCGTAGAAGCTGTCAAATCTTCTGCTTTCGTTCAGGTAATCGAATAGCTACATGGTTGACTTATGTAAGTTGAATATGATTGAATGAGGTGCGTTATCATATAACACTTTTTCTTTAACTTCAGTTGAGCGATGTGGAACTGGGTGGTGCAACGGTCTTTCCTATGGTCGATGGTTATATTGTGCCGAAGAAAGGAAGTGCAGCATTTTGGTACAATCTCTACGCATCTGGTGAAGGTATGATATTTTTACGTTTCATTGCATTAAACTGATTAATCATTGTCCATTTTTTTAGTCAACTATAAAACTCTACATGGAGGTTAGTAATCTCCAAATTATATTGATATCTCTCAAAATAACTAAGTTCATTTCTCTATTCTCAGCTTGTCCAGTACTGATAGGCAATAAATGGATAGCAAATAAATGGATTCATGAGTCTGGTCAAGAATTTCGACGTCGATGTTGGCTCGATCCAACTCTCTAAAGATTATTTAACCAATAGGTTTCCTTTGACGACTATTCTTATCTAGCTGAACATTTTCAATAAGACTCTATTGACAATAATAGTGATTCAATGATCAAAACGAAGTCCAACTTCTGTGTATTTCTTTGTTTTTCTTGTATCTTTTACTGATTCGTAATCAAAAGCTAAATTAATTCTGTTAAAGATCAGTTTCTGAGTGTCGAGAAAGATGCGACTGTTTGTTGATTTTGAAGTACGTGATTGCAATGCTCCAATGTCAGTATCGGTTGACCGAAGAAATCATCTATGGTTATGTAATATTCACTTTGTGTTATTGAATAGTATGTAACAATTAGTTGTAGCTTCTTTCAATATCTAGTAAGTATATTGTACATCGACGTGAGTCTAGATAATGATGAATTTAGAAAGTTTAAAAGAAGTCTTTCAATTTCTATAGCGTATATTTCAACATGAGCTTGATGGAATTCTAATATTTTGCTTTTGTTAATACGTATGATTGTCTTTCAAATGGGATATCCATGATTGAACATTAAAGTTCAACTTCAAACGATTCCTGTGGGTGTGATGTGATTATAGAGGAAAAAAGAACAACACTACATGTACACGCACAATCACATCAACACCCTGATATGAACCATCCAATAAACAATGAATGGTTTGTGTGATTTGAACTTATAGTCAGAAAACTTTTTCTTTTATATTCTCTGTAAATAGAAAAATCAAATATTTAAAAATGCCAAAAAGATTACTTTTTTTATTGATTTTGTCTCCAATGGGATCAGTTCTTGAACAATTAAAATAGAAAGTCTTTTGTTCTATCAAGACTTTAATTCTTAGATCGACAATTTCGTATAAATATGCATCAAAATTTGTATCAGTTATACAGTTTTGATAGATCACCGGATATTATGTTACCAGTAGGTTAAAGTTTCTTTTCTCTGGTACTTGTATCATCACTAGAAGTGACTTTAACAAAGTATGATGTCATTAAAATGATCAACATCAATAAACTTATTATCATAGAACAGTTTCTCCAAGATCATTTTAAACTCTTACAAAAAGAAATATGACTAACGTATAATTGAATTGTTAGTGCAGTCATTTCTTGTCTAAAAACATTATCATTATGAAATTTGAAAGTCAACTTCAGAAATTCGTTTCTCAACATCATAGATTTTTTTTCTAATACAGATGTTTTCATTCCGTCATAGGAACAAAAAATCGGTTGGCTCATCTTTCTTTGTGAAAAACAGCTAGGAAATTTCGAAGCAATGAATATGTTTGAAGTATAGTTATGCTGCAGAGACTTACCTGAACGAATTTAATGATCTTGATGAAATAATTCTTTCTGATGATACTTTGATTACCTCGATGCCTACAACAACCAATGACGACATTAATTATACTCAACAAGAAGCAAAAAACTCGCATCAATATATAAAATCATTAAGTAACAATCATTGCTACAACTTTGGAAGAAAATAAATTGAGCACTGAATAGAATGAACTTTATACCTAGATGAATTACTTAGCTTAAAACAACACGATCAGCTGCAGCAATTTTTTCCTTCCTTTCTTAATACATTTTTATATTTATTCATTCGATGTTTAATACGGAACTGAGTTTGACCAATGTACACTTTTCGGTATTGCATACAGATCAATTTGTACACAACGCCAATGTTCATAGGATCAATTCCTTTGTAATTTTTGATGAAGAGTTTAGAAAGTGAGAGAGTCCTTTGTGATAATCAAAGATAACATTAGTCGTGAAATAACTCCGTTCTATCATGCTTTTAATTTCGTTTGTCATCAAAACAGTTTCATATCATCTATGGTACGTAATAGGCACAGAGAAACCTGTCTTGAATGGTTTCTATGATTTTGTTCCGCTGAATCGATCAATTATGTTCTTCATCTTTATTTTTATCGAATCGAGAGGTTAACCATTTCTAGTTGGCAAGGATTCAATTATTTTACATTCTTCGTTAAACAAGATTTTCGACGAACAAATTGAAAGTGTACAAGAAATTAGAGTTCGTATCAAGTCGACTTTGCATTTCTTTGGTTGACAACTGTGCCAATGTAATAGCTGTTCTGTGTGTGGTTTCTTTCTGAAAATAGTCGTTTCAAATTTTTGTCTTTCATGACTAATCTGTACATTTAAAACTGAAAGCTCGAAGTTATTTCCTTTTCACATGTAAATTTACTATTGTAATGTAGATAATTAGCATATTTCAATAGATTATCAGCGTCTTGTTCTTTACGCTCCATAATAATGAACGCGTCATACACGTAACAATAATTTTATTTTAATTTTATCATTATATTCATACTCTTCCAATTTTCATTCAATACGACTCATAAAAAGATTAACAAGAGCTGAAGCCAATGATGATTCCATGTTCATGCCTTCTATTTGCTGATATAGTTCTTTATAGAATAGAGATGGCATCTTACGTACCCAGATCGAACAAACATGGTCGTAAACGATCATGTACGGAGAAAAATACGATCGTTTATGATTATCTTATACGCAGTCCGTATACGGTCGTATACGAAATCCGTAAATCTCGATCTTGATACACATGATTCAAACATTTGTCTTAAGTCTTTTTCTTTGAGTTTAGTAAATGATGAATGATTCATTTCCTTTTCTAAGATTGTTTTAATTGCTACATTGATCGATTCATGAACAGATATGAAAGTAAACAACGCTTCGACAAAAAGACAAATCATAAAATCGATCTTGAATGTCTTATGTTGTTGTATCAAATTCGCAAAACTAAATGAATCTTTTATGTGATAAACTGGCTTACTTCTTGCTTCTTCTGATAAATTTGTAAGGTATTTCGACAGATTGTAATTATTGGAAGTAGAAATGACAGGATGTTATGGCATGTCTGTTTTATGTATCTTCAATAGACAGAATAGCAAACACATCTAGTTTCAACAGCCCTCATCTAATCATATTCATCGTTACTGAGTCTCTTTCTTATTATATCACCAGTGCCATAGTTAAGTTTTGTTTTCAATTTTTTATAACATGTTCGACAGTCTTGACATTGCGTTTCTCATCCGTATAATTCATCTTTTTAAATGTCTTACCTATGAAAAGTAATTGTTTTACTTTCAGAATGTAGTGTTCTTTGTCCATCAAAACATATGGTCCTCCTTTATCACAGCTTTCATCAATATAATTGATTTATCATTTAATAACTATTTTTATCCTCTTGGTTCATCTGAGCTGACATTGATTATTTTCTTGCTCTTATTATAATTTTTAGTGATTGATAAGCTACCGAGCGTTTAATACAACCAATTAGACATTTGTCTAAAGGTTTGGAATTTGAGTCGGCTGATTGTTTTAAAATTCTATAAGCCCCTATTTCAATTTTGGTCCTGAATTGTAGAATGTCTGTCAATTTTGTTTCAATAGAAAGTTCTAGACACTTTGAAAGAATAGTTTCTTCTTCTTTTAATAGGTCACCAAATGATATATTGCGTATAACCTTTTTATTGTCTATTTCTTGTAAAATAACGTTGCTATTCGATAATTTGAAAGTCTTCTTTGAGAGAATTACTCTAATTTTTCTTTGGTCTTTCTCTTTGACTATGCCGGAATGTTCTTTCAACAATTTAAGTTTCCAGGTCAATGATACCCGATCGTCAACGACTAACTTAAACCGTGATCGTCTACAGTTATTGTGAAAATACAACGACTGCCGGACATAGTCGTAATTCACCGTATGCGCCAGCTCTAAACGGTTCAATGAACGTTCACCGTTTTCTGTCATGCTTTACCGTGAACGATCGTTTACGTTCAGCGTTTCCCAATCGGAATGAGCATTAGCATGGAGCATTTCCAATGAAGTGAATATGACTGTGGGTAGGTGTTGAAATGAAGACCCGCATCTACACCCACACCAACATCCATACCCTAGTGCGCTATTGGTTGAATACAGTGTTTCAAATGTTGCTGTACGAAACGAATAAAGTCGGTTGTATATAGTTTTCAAAGCAAAACAGAAGCTCCGTGGGTTTTTATTCTAGGAGAGAGTTGAGGACTAATCGAATGTTATATGAAATAAAAGAAAAAGAGTTTTCATTTAATTAACGTGCTTTAAGTCTAACGAAGGCTACCGAGACTTATTTTTCCTATGGGATTTATTTAGTTATTCAGGACTTATTAGCTATGATGCTACTTCAGTACACCCACATGCACACCCCACCCTAAAATATTCGCGAAGAATGGAACGCCAAAAATATTCAAATATTCAATCGAGACAAATTATCAATCAGAGAAAATAAAGAAAAATATTTGATTTATTTTCAATATAATCTAATACTTAATTAATTCATAGGTCAAAATTAATTAATCTCGAGATAGATGTAGAAAAAAGCATAAATAGTTGCTTTTAAATGACTATTATTAGTCGTATTTAATCAAATCGATGTCCGGCAAATACGAGCAAAAACATCTCGAATGATTGATCTACTGTTGGTTTCTGTCGAGAGCTCACCGTTTACTCTTTTATTAGTCTTGTTATCTTAATCAATTCAATAAAAAATATTTTATTCTTGAAAAGTAAATTATATTCTCATTTTACTTAATTTTATCCTGATAAAATAAAAACCAATAGTTATTGACGAGATATATTTTGATTAGACTTTTAAAACAAATTATTTATTTATTTATTCATATGTAAATCTAAATATATATTTAAATAGCTGAACTATCAACTCCATATCCAATAAGTTAGTTCATTTAATACATATGGAAGTCGTTTTATTGATAAAACATCGATATTTCAATAGTTATGTTTAAAAAGTGATATAATTGTCCCGAGACACAAATCAAATTTATAATAAGTGATATTATATAATCTTTTTTTAATTTGATTTCAATATAATATTAAATATCTTAATAGAAAAAGCAAAGGGTTCATAAAAAATGAATAAATTTTTATATTCAATGCATTTACAGTAAAAGGTTTCGGAAAAAGTGAATATTGATTTTCCTATGATTAAAGTTTTAACTATTGTTATGTGTATAATAATTGGTTTATTAGTTAACATTAGTCTACTTGAACATGTTAAAATTAGATTTACATAATTGAAATAAAGATGGTGTGCCTTTTTTCAAGACATTAGTGAAATGGTAACTATTTCAATTGTATTTGAGTTTGTTTTTCAAGCAAGTTTATTTTATTTAAATAAGTATTAAAAAAATAATAACAAATTTGCAAAAGGTTCAGGCGTAATTGGTATAGCAGCAGGTAAAAGTGAAAATCCTCGTTGTGATATTCCACGTGCTATGATGAATGTTTTATTTTGTTGTTCGATTAATATTAATTATAGGTCTTGTTATTTCACATAATGATCCAAATTTAGTTCATGATGGCGATGTCACAAATATTGCTGTATCACCATTCACACTTGTGGGTGGGGTGTGAGTGTGAATGTCTTCTTTCTTACACTCAAATCCAGACCACACCCACACCCATTGTCTTCCACCTGTATATGCATCCACAGCGAATGATGACACCTCTAAGTAGTCAGCTACATACTACTAGTGTCTGTCTTGAATTGTAGTGCTAGTAAAATGCATCTTCTCTTACAGCGACCATGTAATATTACTGCATAATAGTCACACTGAAGAAATGCTAGTCAATCTGGTATTGTTGAATAGTAAAATTTTCAAAACTAGTTATCTTAACTTTTACTACACGTTTGATAAAATTTAATGCTTAGAATAAGTAATGTTTGTTATGACTTGTAAATGAGACTAGAGAATTGAAAGGTATAGCCAGACAAGAAAAATATTAGTGCAAAGCTGAATTCGTAATTAATTTCGCAGCCAAATAGCAGCCGAAGCTGCTCACCTCTACTTCACTTGATAATTAGATTATTCACTCTCCAATCAAAACAATTGTTTGTTCATCTCTATCCATTTTCTTTTGATAACAAGCTGACATTAACTCAAGAAAGGCTTCAATATTTCATGGCTATTTTATAAGTCAACAGTATTGAAGATCGAAAGTAAAGCACATGCTTACTAAACTCCTATTTATCAACTTTTACAGTAAGAATAACAATCACTTTCTCTTAACACCAAACAATACAATTGAGAAACTAGCGAAACATATCCAAATTATACGAATGAATTTTTGAAAAGTTTTTTGTCTTCATTTATATGTATATACATTATCAAGTATGACTAAAAGTTTTTCCATTCATTATTAAACAGATATAAATTTTTCAAACATCATATGTTTAATCCTTTGATTAATACGGAATTTTGTATACAAGACAAGAAACATATTAAATATCAAGTTCAAAACTATCCATAAAAGTAACAATCTGTTCAAATAATGCTGCTAATCGATACTGGTTGTCATGAAAATCATTTGTTATTGCTATGCGTAAACTAGTCTTGTATCGACTAATAAATTCATGATATAATTTAAATAAAGCATATGTTCTATTAAACTCATTCGTTCGTCTATTTGATGAATTCTAAAAAATAAAATTTTAATACTAATTCAAAAAATTATTTCCTTTTCAAATTTTACTTGATGTTCTTGTTCTTTAAACAATATCGTATGTCGATCAAGATCTTTAATAGATACAGTTGGAAGAGAAGAAACAGCATCATAATATCTAAAGACAAATTTATTAATTACAAAATTATTTTTTAGATTAAGTTTTTTTTTTTAAACTAACTTTTCTACAAGTTTTTTATATTTTTGTACATCACGGTAAAATAAAAGTTTTGATGATGGTGAATCTTTTGTTAATTGATGAGTACCAGCAGCACAACTATCCATAAACATTTGAGCAATAACTGATAAAGATGCATCAATAACACTGGTTTTTTGAACGTCAAATATAAAATCAGGATTTTTAATAATATTAACAAAGAATCTTAATGGTAAACTAACAAAATATCGAAAAAAAAAAAATAGAAAAAAACTTTTTTTTTTTCTTGCAATTTTCAAACCTGTTACTCTTCCAAGTATGAATAATATTTGAATCAAATATTTGATAATATTCAGCTTGTTCATCAAAAAAATCAAATAAATATTTAATTGGTAATGGTAAATCAACAAGACAAAAAATTGTATCAAAAAAATTATCAATATATTGTTGTAATGAACCTTTTGTTGCTAACAAACGTGTTAGATAAACTTCTGAAACAAGTTTATTTGTCGTTAATGCTCGATCATCATCTTCACGATCAGTTGGTTTAACCTACAAGAATTGAAATTAATTTAAACAAAAAAAAATATATATACATATGTATAAACAATTACTAAATGATAAAAATGTGTATTTTGTTCTGATCGAGAATTAGAAAATGATTGTTCTAATTGATTTGTAGTTTTAAATCGATGATCTTTTCGTAAATTTATTAAATCTATTGTTGAATTTAATAATATTTGACTTTCTATTTTATATAAGAATTTTTATTACAAATATATACAGAATGTTTCAAAAGTTATGATCACTTAGTAGATACAGATAACTTTGCTACTAATCAAGCTTAATCAAAAACTTCTTTTCTATTTTAAGTAAGAGATTAGTAAGTTTTGATTCGTAAAAGAACAAGTTCATCAACAGTGTAGAAAAGATAAAATATATCGGCTACTATTTAGAAGCTAATCTTTATTTGATATTTACTTGAATTTTTATCATCATTATGAACTTCAGATTATCTATATCTTTGATTATTACTTTTTAATCATTTGTTTGACATATTTTTAAATGCTTGAAATCATTAATACATTTTTTCATAGAAAGTTGTTCGTGACTCTTCGAAAACTTAAATAATAAAAAATCTATAATAACGATTGAAATTCAAGTAAATATCGAAAAACAATCTCATTTTAAAATGGTCGCCAAAAATGTTATCTATTCAACACTATTGATGAACTTGTTACTAGTGTCCTATTTCAAATAAAAACAAACATTATTAATCAATAGCAGAGTTATCTGTATATATTAAGTAATCATGACTTTTGGGACATTCTGTATATATTTATATATATATATAAATTCCGTTACCAGGTCCTTGAAGTAATTGCCAACTATGATCATCATCAGTTTTTTGTGTATAAGATAAATTCTTAGTTGGATAATAGCTAGTTAATTCATTATTTAATCCACCAGAATTTGTTTGAGAACTTATTAATGATGAAAATGATGATGTATTTGTGTGATTTATACCAGGTTTTAAACTAAGAAATAATCGAGCACCATCATGAACCTAAATATAGTTTTATTTATTTTATCCTTATTTTCATTATATTATTATACTTTATAAGTTGCTAATGTTTGTACTTGTACAAAATCATTTGTATCAGGATTATCAACTTTTTCATCATCACGAAGTAATTTCATATGTGAACCAATTCTCCATTCTATAGGAAAGAAATATATGTAAATACATAATGGAAAAAATGTTCTAGAAAAAGTAAAACTCGATGCAACTTCATCCGATAATACTATCAACATAAGATTCGATTGTCTAAGATTTAAAATTTTTGAGTTTCAGCTCAAAAGTAAAAAAAAAAATAAAAATCTTCAAAAGATTATTTGTATTCAGAAACATTTTGATGATCTGTTCTAATGGATAATCTCGTGCGATAGAAAAAAAAACCAAGATTTGCATCAATACATACATACCCAAATCAAAATCTTCAATGGATGGACGTTTGGAAAATGGAATATTTTTATAAAAATGATCGACTATTTTTTCTTTCACCTGGGTTATTGAATCACAACTAAGAACTTTTATTGGCACCGGTGTTGATATAAGATGAGATTTATCATCTTCTACTTGAATTACATAAACAATCTGATAAGAAAAAAAATAATAATCATAATTGTTATATTTTTCATTATATTTTTACCATTGATTGATAATCAACATGTTGTCGAAGAAGTTTATCTTCACTTAATGAATATCTTGATTCATTTGTATAATAATCAATAGGACCTTTATGAATTTGTTGTTTAATTGATTGAAATAATATATACAAAGGAGAACCAATACGTTCCTTTGACATGAAAAAAGAAATAAAAGTTTCTCTTTTTTTTTTTTGTTTTAAATTGATTTTTTACTTTGATATGACCAAAAAGAAGAAAAGCAAACCAATTTGAAAGTATCTTTTCAGCTATAGATGCATTACTTCTTAACAAAATTTTACTATTATTTCGATCTTGTTGTAATGATTTTTCAATTAATTCTTTTAATAATGTTTTTAATAATCTAAATAAAATATTAATCATGAAATAAAAAAAAAAAAAAAAAATTATTTTTCAAAACGTACTCAGTTAAATATTCAATATTATCTTGAAGAAGAATACTGATAAGAGATGCAAATTGCATACGATCTTGTAAACGAAAATTAATTTTATCTGCTTCCAATGTATGAATCAGTAGAAGAAGAAAATGACGATTATATAATAATTGAGATAAATGTTGAAGACCTTGTCGAACATTATTTCTTCTATTAGCTTCTAGCTAGAAATAAATATGAGTAGAATTTATTTAAAAAAAAGCTTTACAAAATATACAATTTGAATAAATACATTTTTCTAAACTGAATATTTTGTAAAACAGGTCAAACTCTATACAAAACTATATTCAAGTTTTTCACATTAGTTTTTACAGAAGAAAAATAAATTATTGTTGTAGTGTGAATGAAGAAAGCTATTTTTCATTCGAATATAAAGTGCCTTTATTAAATCAACTTATGCTTAAAGTTCAAATTTTCTGCTGAAATCGTTTATTACATGTAGCAAACAAAAGATTCGAGATGACGCTGTATTAATTATAGTTTCTTTACATCGTAAATGTTTTTCTTTGAAATTTATTGATTAACTCTGACACGACGACCTTTATGATTGTTATTCATCTGGCGTCTGTGCCAACTCTAATTGATAAAATAAATATAACACACGAAGTTTTTATTAGTTTATTATGGATATGTAAAAACTCTGGAGAAGACTTGATTATAAGAGAAACAAATGAAAAAAAAAAAAAAAGAAATCAGTTTGAACAATAAATATCTATGTGATCTTTTTTCATGATCTTATCATTCTCTATTTTCGACACGTTTGAAATCATGCATCATTATTCTGTGTTGACTTATAACTTGAACTACTGTATCATAAGAAGAACAATTATGTATGATTGATTGATGTTATTAGTATACTGTACTACTAAGTGCTCTCAACATAGGCCTAAAGGAACATAGTTCGATTGCTTGTTATGATTTGTATAACATTACAATGAATCTTACTGAAGCTGAGATGAATCGCGATATTCAAAAAAGCATTCATATGCACTTCTAGATAATTGAGCGTACTTAGTGAATATTATCAGTAGTCTACTAGTCTTCACTAGAGCAAATCCAAGAAGATAAGCGGTTTCATCTAATGAATATTAGATATGATAAAAATGGCTGCAGTACATGCGAACCCCAGGTAATCATGACAAGATTAAATTCGAAATATTCTGAAGATTTAATCAAGTTATTCTCAAGATCTTGTAGAGACGTACACTAATATAAGGAATAGTTCTACCAATTGTTTTTCATTAATAACTTCTTTTGTACCGACAGATGTTCAAAAATTAATACGGTATTTATGCAATATATATTACTATTTCTTTCGTGCCAGGGTTCGTATATATAATCCGAGCTGAGCTTTTGACACCCTGACACGAAAAAATTTTTAAAAAAATTTATAATTTTAAAAGCAAAAAAAAAAGAATTCTAATATCTAAGCTGATTTTTAAATTCATTTTTAATTATTCTTACTGGTATTTCAATATTATGAAGCATCATATATTTTTCTTCATCAGTAGCATTTGGAAATAATACTTTCATACAATATGTACGATAATCATGATATGGTACACCGGAATGTGATAAATCATTTGTTATTTCTCCAATATCTGTTTGAAGTTCAGCGAATGCTATAATATATATATATATATATAGAAATTTTATTGTTTTTATAAATACAATAGAAAAGAGATTATGTAATAAAAAAATAAAATAACCTTCTTTGCATTCACGTGCAACACGCATTTCAAGTGTATCAATTTGATTTTGTAAACGATTAAGTTGTCTAGTACGTTTTGTGTTTATGCGTCGAAAAATAATTGATACAATTATAACAAACATTGTTAAAAAAAATCCACAAACACTTGCGATTATATAATACAATACTAATGATCGTTTTTCAATATTTGATGTATATATTAATGTACCTAAGGTATAAACTCGACGACCAAGTGTAACCTATTGAATTTTAATTTTATTTATTTATTTATTTATTTATTTATTTTTGTAAGTACTTACACGAACAATGGCTTGTTCATTATATTTTGTATTAATATCAAGTAAAATACGTTTTTTTCTTATCAATTTTTCAATAGTACGATTTGTTGGTTGACAAACAATTTGTTGATCTGATATTGATGTTATATTACATGGATATGAACCAATTGTTATAAAATAATCATTTATTGTTGCAACATCAAGTAAATTTAAACCTTCTATTGTTAAATAATCATAACGATATTGTATACGTTTTCCATCATTATTAAATGGATATATAATTGGATCAGGACAAAGTAAAAATGCTTCATAGTATGTTGATGTATTACGAACATATTCGACATCATCCATAAAAAAACCAAATTTAAATTCAAAACAATGATTTTTATCATATGATCGTGAATGTAAAATATGAGTTATTGGTGATGATGATACGGTTGTTGTTGTTGTTGTTGTTGAAGTACTAGTTGTCGTAGTAGAAGATAATGTTGTACTTTTAAGCAGTATTTCATTTTCTATCCATTTCAATGATGGACCATAGCAAAGCATACTTTCCGGAGTTTTAACTGAGCAATTCTAAAATTTGTTATTTTTTTTTTTTTTTTTCATTTCAAAATCAAATTAAATAGAGAGAGGGATAAATAATGAACAAACCTCGACAAATATTTGACTATTATTATATTCAATGAAGAATTGTGGTGTTTGAATAGAATTGAAATTAGTACCATAAGCAAGAAATGGTAAACCACCACTTTGAATACCAGAATATCGACTTAAATTATGAACACGTGGATCCTATAATTTCATAAGAGATGATTAACAAAGATTTTCACCATAAAATTGAAAATGAACAAAAAAAAAATATGCATCGCGGAATGAATTTCTAAAGTTCATGAATAATAATTTACGAGAACAATTAACATTGACACAGAATACATTCATTTTCTGACTCTTGTTAATTGTTAAAAACAATGATTTCAATAAATTTATATTTTAAATTGAAATTTTAGATTCTGATTAATATTTCTGCGAAACTATTCGAACTGTTGACAATAGAGATGTTCAGGTCCAAGTTTTATTCTTCAATACTCATTTTTTGATTACTTACTTCTGTATATGAATAAGTAATATTCGAATAAGTTTCAGTAAAATTATCAATTAAAATTCTAATTGTACCAATCCATAATGCTTGTCGTTTAACAAATCTTTGTTGTCGATTTTCATCATGTTCGTTTATAACTGCTAATTTAGATGTTCGACATTGAATAATTTCTTCTTCATTTTCATTAGGTAATTCTAATTGAGATATCGATGGAATAATAAATTGATTATTTTCATCATCTGATATTGTACTACTAATAAATATTTCTTCATTTTCAATAACAAAACATGGTTGATGACCAACAAATATATTTATTTTACTTCCTATTGTTAAATGTTTTCCTTTTATTGAAAGTAAAGTACCACCAGATCGAGGTCCTAAATTTGGATAAACATGATTAATAACTGGTTTCTATGAAAAAAAAAGGAAAATTTATTTTCATATGAAATTTTAATAAAAAAAAAAAATCTTTATTCACCACAATATGAAAAATTGGTCGATCTTTACTAACAACTGAATGAACAGTAACTTTAATTGTATATATTCCAATTGGTAAAGATGGTAATTGACATATAAATGATTGAGCAGTAATATATGATTCAATTTGAATATGACATTGAAATTCCATTTGATTGGAATTTATAAGAACAACAGATATATCATGTGGTTTTTTACCTAAACTTGAACCATAGATTCGTATTGGTGTACGACCATATTGTGGACCTATGATAGGATAGATTTGTCTAAGACGTGGATCGAGACATACACCCATTGATGAACTTATTATATGATGAGGTTTACATATCGATGAATTTATTTCATGACGACATGATTTATCTGTTTCACACCATATACAATGATAATTATCATGAAGTAATATACATGAACCACAAGAATCCGCTAGATATTTACATTTATATATGTTTACTGTATACAAAAAAAAAGAAATTCAAAAAAATTAATGGATAGAAATTGATTACCTGTAAAATTTGTTAAAGCTTCTAATTTTTTATATATACATTCATTTTCACATTCTTTCCATTCGATTTCAAATGATAAATTTTGTTGACCAACATCATGTTCATAAGATATCTAAAAATAAAAATAAAACAAATTCTTTTGAAATTTATTCAAACAATTTTATTGTTATTCTTACTTGAAATGAATCACAAATAAATGAATTATTATTAATTTTTCCAATACTTGTTATTATACTTGAATTCATTAATATTAATAAACAACGAAAATATTTTTGAATATTATATTTTAATCCAATTGTTTGAATAATAACTCGAGCTTTTTCACCAAGAATAAACGAATCACCATCAGAAATAAATATTTCTTTCGTTGATACATTATAACGTGGACATTCATTAATTAAAGAATTATTTATTATAATATCGTTTTTCTCAATAACTAAATCACTATCAATACATGTTGCTTTTAATAATTGCCATGTACAATCAAATGAATTATTCATACATGATGTACATCTAAAAATTATTTTTATTTAAATATTTCCATGAACCAAAAAAAAAAATTACTTACGTTAAATATGATGAACAATCATAAAATGTAACGTTTTTTTCTGTAAGAATAATATCATTGTAAAATAGACGTATGATAATTGAATCTAAATTTGTAAAAAATAAAATAATCAGAAAGAAGAAAATTAATTATGAATACCATGATTAATATTTAAAAGTGTTTCAGATGGAGGTGAATAACATATAATATAATTTTCATATTTAATAGCATTTGATATATAAATAGGTTTATCATTATTATTATTATCTTCTGTATCAGTTAAAAGTGAAGTTAAACCAAATGAACAGAAATATTTTGAAGTAGAATCATCAGGTACATTATCAACTTGTAAATGTAACTAAAATATTCAAAAAACAAAAAAAAAAATTCAAGAAAAAAATTTCTTTCTTTTTTTGTTTTTTTTACTTTGTCAGATTTTGCTTTTGAAATAAAAGCTGGTCTCATTTCGATAATACTTGGACAACTCTCATATATTTGTAACCAACGAAAACGTCGTTGATCATTTGTTTCATTTCGACGTATTGTACAACTGTAGAAGAAGAAGATTAAAATTTAATGCTTGAATAAGAAAACTTACCGATTGAGTGTTGTACCCCAACCACAGTATGGATTTTGTGATGAAAGACATGAAAAACATGTTTTATATCGATCACAATTATGAAGATCAACTTGAAAGAGCTATGAAAATAATTTTGAAATGTAAATAAAACAGGTAAACAATAAAAAAAAAAAAAAGAATTCAATGATACAAAAGAGATATATAGTAGAGAATGATACTCAGTTACTCACACAATTACCCGAGTTTTAGTTGCTCCATAAAGAAAACGACTATTGTTATCTAATATCATATCACGAAGAATAGAGTCACCAAAATGAACAAATATTTCTTCAAATTGAAAAGCTTTCTTTGTCGATGGTTGAACACTAATCTAAAAAAACAAAATATTAAAAACAAAAATTGTTTTCTTATAATTCATTGTCTTCTGAATTCATCTCATGAGGATTAACAGAGAATTATAAGACTACAATAATCCTATGAATATGTGAACTAATTGGGCTTAGTTACAATCGTTGTCATTGATTTTAATCATTATAATATTCTGATAATTATTGAATTTATAAATTAGATTTCTTAAGAAAGAAGCATTCATTTTGATTTTTACAAATTACCTCTATAAGATTAAAATTTCATGAACTTAACTCTCTTAGAATGATTCTAATTTCCTAATTCCCTAGTTATACCAAAAATAAAAATCAACGATGAATTTAAGAATGAAAAAGAAATATTTGAAAAATTTTCCAGATGAACAATCCCAATAGAAGATGATCTTTTCTTTTTTGTCGATTGTTAATATTAACTTTTGTTAAAATATCAAAATACCTTTTTAATTTTGCCATCAGCTGTACCAGCTAAAACAACAATATAATCATTAATAACAGTCGCTTCCAATGATGTTAATTGATCAGATGAAAAACTAATTATTGGTTGTGAAATAATATTCGATGACCCTTCATATATCATTAAATAACTTGCATCACGTGTTGTTGAACATCGAGCTAAATTTCCATATGGTGCAGGATATTGTGGCTAAATAAGAATAGAAATATTGTACTTCTAGTTTATTTTTTTTAAATAGATTAAATAAATTTAATCTTACAATAACTGATTCACCATGTAACCAAGCCATACCAAGTGAAACATTACCTTTGGATAAATCGAGTATATTTTCAATGAATGCATTTCTTATTTGATCAAGTTCATATAAACATATTGCCGAATGACTATTTATTGATGGTTCAAGACTATGTAATGTTTTTGATTTTGATGCTATTGTTAATAAATATTGTTTATTATTATTGAATTTAATTAATTTAACTTTTTGTATAAGTGTATATTCATTTCCACAATTAATTTGTAATTCAACATAATGTCGAAATGATATTTGTCCTTCACATAAACGTATAATTTTACTAACATATTGTTGATTAGTAAATAAATATATAGATGAATTATTTTCATCATATATAATATCTTGAAAAAGTCGAAATTTATCTGATGATTCATGTTCAAAAAAATCTGTATAAATTGAACGTACAACAGATAATTGTTCTGGACAATAATCATTTATATTTAAAAATGGAATTTGTTCATGAATATAATTGAAGAAAGATGATGTCTTATTATTATTTGTATTATTATTTTTATTCGTGACATAATCATCAGAAGCCATTGGATTAGTAGATGATGTTCGAGAAACTCCTATAATTGATGTTAAATTCGATTTATTGTTATGTGAAGATGACCTTGTTTTATTCATAGAGTTTTCAATATGAACACTTTCTTGTTTCATAATCGAATCTTTAAAAACGGTAATGTTTCGTTGTTTAACCTTTGTGATCGTAGATTTGTTTACATAGTTCTGTAATTTTCTTATTCCATCATCATAGACAAATGCTCGCAAAGCAATTGTACGTCGTTGAGCTTGTTCAAGACATTGAACATAAACACGATCGGTTAAATCATCAGATTTTTCTTTTTGATTTGATAGAATAAAATTTTTTCTTAATGTTGACGTTAAAAATAAATAAGTTGGTGTATTATTACATTTGTTAAATTTAAAATGAAACGGAAATATATGATTTGGTATTGTTGGATCGGTATTAAATAAAAATTTTTGTGCATGATTTTTTTCATTAGTTGATATTTGTTGATAATAAATTTTCGATAGATTTAATGCATTACGAATAATACATGAACCTGATTGAAGTGACCAACAATCAATTAAATATGGTTTATTATCTATTTTATTTTCTGTTTCAAGATAAAGTATAAAATTATAATTATTTTGATCAATAGAATTTTGTAAATTTAATGATTGAATTAATCTTGAACGACGATATCTATCTGTTGATACATCATCACCTTCATTATTATTATTATTATTATTATTATTCGTTAAATTATTTAAACATTGACAAGGATTTATTTTACATATATCATAATCATTTAAATAAGAATTTTGTGTAGATATATTTTGTAGAAGTGTTAAATTATCATCATAAATTGAAATAGAATCAATCGAAGAAACATAAAGCCATTTTAAAGGAGAATAATAAGTTAAATGATTGATATTATTTGATAGAGACAGATGACGAATATGAGAAGTTTTAATGATATTTATTTGATAGAATATAATCCATAAGAATGCTACATATTGTCGATAAAAAATCAACATTATCTAATGAACACATTCAGATATAAATCTGAAAGAGAAGAAAAAAAGTCTATTAACTGATAAGTAATCATGAATGAATATCATTCAAGACTACTATTTTTAGTTGCTGTCATTTTGAACAAATGATGATTGTGCAAGTGTACTCGTACGTATGCAAATTGTTCATCGGTCAGCTCAAGGAATGATTGAATAAACATACTGAAACTTCGTTCTTCTCTCTTTTTTTTTTGTACTCCACCCACTTGTCAAAGTATACTACCGTCACAAAACGTATTTTTTTCATTCACAGACATACAAGCACGTACAAAGCAATTCGAAATTTCCATACGATGACGCAATCGCTCAAAAGAAAAAGAGGAGGATCTAACAAGAAAATACTCTCATTAGGAAGTGCTGCTTATGTTTGTCATCACTACCACTGTTCTCTCTCTCTCTACAACATAATCGATTACCTGTCTTGAAAACTCAACGTACATATATATATATTTATATGCACACAAGTGATAGATAAAACGAGACGGCAAAGAGAAAGAGAAAATTACTCACTATCTCCCTCTTTGCTTACACAATAAATGAGAGAAAAACTAGAGCAGAGACAGACCGTTTCCGATATCTGTATATAGAATAAGACAAGAGAGATGAAGAAAATGATCAAACCATACATTCTCTGTAATATCGGATACTGATCAGTTAGGTTAATTTGCCCTTTCTTTCCATAATTCAGTAGAACGTCAGTCATCCAATGTCGGCTCGGTCATCACACATGCATACATACATCACAGGCGATATTTCGATTAGTTGGGACAAGTTTAGTTTTGACAGACACGCAGCAGTCAGCCGTTGCTTGTAGTACAAGTAAGAACGTAGAAGAAGAGAAATGAGTGAGTAAGTGAAAGAAAGAACAAACATCAACGAGGACGTGTTTGTGTTTGTATGTATATATATATATACTGCACGAGTCGGTGCTTCTATACTAATTGGAATGTCAAAAAAAGGAACAAGATGATGGTTGATTCCTCGTTTCACTTTCCCTAGAGATGAAGAAATGTGAATATAGATAGTGAGAGCTGTTCAATGTAACATACCAATATATATATATATATATATCAAGACAAAATAGGACATTTAGTTCTTGTCGATGTAATATAATCATTATTGGTTTTCTCTCTCCTACACTCTCAAGAGAGAAACTAGATGATGGTTTAAATACAAAATTATGAATATATAAATATCCGACTGTCTATCCAACCGTTGTTTTCTTATCGGATCAAGAGAGTCAAAATGTTGAACTACTATTTTTATTCTTTACTTTTGTTGTTATTGTTAGTCCTATTATGTGCCACGATGTTGAACATTGGTCACTTTTGCACTAAGTCAAGAGCATCAAGACAAGCAAAAAAAAGCCATACACACATACGGCTAGTTCATTTATTCGACAGCCGTTAAAGAGAGATTGAGTTTGCATGCATACCATTGTTGAGCTTCTTTCTGTCCGAATGCTTGAGCGTCCGTCTACATCTGTATATATTATAAGAAGGACACCAAATATTATTGTTGTATTCGTTCAAGCTGATAAGTAGTTCTCCTTTCTTTTTTCTCATATTAATCGACCAAAAAGAAGAATATGTAAATAGTTCAAGGAATCAAGTTAGAGGCATCGTTTTGTATTCAATCGATGATCAATGACAAGAATTGTGGAACTTGATACTCAACAAAACTATATCGATATTACACGCTATAAGCAAAACAAAGTTGTTTTTTTTCGTTTAATTTGATCTTTTTTTTTTCTCTTTTGTCTCTTTTCATTTTTCTTTTTCTTTATTCTATACTCTTAACTAGTAGACAGACACAATGTCAGCAAGTTCCGATTATCAGGCTGATAAAAGCAAGATACAGATAGGAATAGAGTGAAACTACTCATTGATAATTTCTTGTTCTAAGCAAAAAAACGATGTGAATTGAAACTTTAAAGTAACACCATTAACTTGTCTTATCTCAAGTTCTTGTCAAGGAAAAAATGAGATGCCAAGGCTAAAGTTCAATTTGTGTTAATAAACATAGACAAAACAAATAACAAATAATTTTAAATGCCTAAGCAAGCAACACTCTTAAGTTATTTGAAAATCAATGACACATCACTATTCTAACTAATGAGCCTTAACTGTGAATATTTTCGAGAGAGAGAAAAAAACACAAAAAAAAAACAAATGTATACAAAATTGATTTAAGAATGTTGTTGATCCATGTCACTAAGTTTATCTTTACAAATATAAACAATTATAATAATACGAAGCAGAAAAATATCTTCAGGCATTATCTATTTTCTCGAATGAAACGGATTGAATCATCATCGGTCAACAAATCACCTCTTGTCATCATTCATCATCATAGATTATAGAAGAAAATGTGTGAATAGAATTTTGTTTTTTTCTTCTATTATATCTAACCGGTATAATCTTGACTAATGAACATCATTTGACAACACATCACCTTCGAATGTATAGTTTGTCATCAGAGAGAGAAACAGAAAGAGAGAGAAAAATTTGGAATGTTCAACAAGAAGAAACAAAAAAAAAAATTAGACACACATATACATGATGTTTGTCACAATCTCACAGCTTGTCATTGATTATGTAATCTCAGCACTTCTTCATTTTCGTAAATTTATACAGATAAATAGAACGAATATTTCATAAAATTTCATTCAAAAAAATTGAATTCTATTTTTGATATCATGTTATATTTTAAATTTATTTATGTATTATTAAATTTATTATCAGTTTCTTTATGTCAAAATCGACGAAGACAAAATTATCAAATTGAATGGAATTCTTCGAATTCATTATTTCAATCTAATAATTCATTTGTACTTAATGTACGTCTTAGGGATACAATTGATTTTCTTTGTCCACATTATAATCAATCTTCATCTGTTGAATATAATACATTATATTTAGTATCAAAAATTGATTATTATTTATGTCTTACAGAAAATTATCAACCACTTATACAATGTGATCAACCATATAGTTTAACACGTTTAATATATACATTATCAATATCAAAATATTTACCATATCCAAATATGCCAGAATTTCTTGATGATCATTCTTATTATTTTATTTCAACATCAAATGGACAAAAAACAGGTATCAATCAAAAATTCGATGGTTTATGTCGTACAAAAAATTTTCGACTTATTATTGATGTACAAAAATATTATCGACGTTATTCAATACAACATAATAATCAATATCGTATGAAAATACAAAAACAGTTATTGAATGAAACCAATGAACAATATCGACAATATACTTCTTTCAGTAGTAGCAAAAGATTGTCTTCTCCATTTGTTTTTTCATTATTGTACAGTCTATTGTATTTGTATTCATCTTTGTTATGAATGAAAATTGTATTCCGTTAATAGAATTAATTATTTAAATATGTCTTTCTCGTCTATATTTTTCACGTTTCCATGCTTCCAAAATAAATTCATTCATTAAAATTGATTGAATATCATTTAATTCAATTTGAAGACCTGTCAGTTCCTTAAAATACAACGAACAACAAGCAAGATATAATAATTCTCTATTTCAGAGTTGTAACCGATAACGGTAAACGATTGATTCGAGCCAGCAGAAGATTTCTAACCGATCGGTATAGATTTTTTCAAAAAAAATTGATTTTACTAGAAGTGTTTTCTGTTCGTAAATCAAAACATTATTACTGATGTCAATCATTATTTCTATCAGTAAACATGCTTTAGAATATTTCTATTAAGTATGTAGTCATCAAAATATGCTTAATATATATTGTATCAATTTATTTCGATATCAAGTTATAGTATCGACACAAAATGGAATCATTGTTCGTCATTGTTAGACATGTCACAATATCAATACGGTATTGTGATATATCTAATCATTGTAATTTATCATATATATATTTTTTTTTTTCATTTTGTATTATTGATGCCATATCTTTTGTAGAGACGTAAGAGATAACAAAATGAATCTCTTGTGAGAAGCAGAGTAGATATATATATAGTTGATTAATAATTTTGATATCTGACGAACTTTTATTCAGTATACAAAGCTAATATAGCATTTGTAGTTCTATTTTGATAGATGCCAAAAGAGAGAAAATTTGTACAAATATATACTGCAAGAAAAGCTTGCAGCACAATTCTTACGGGATTAAGATATTAAATACGATGATGCTACTTTAACCGTTGTGAAAAACCTCATCATCTATATGACAAACCAAAATCAGCATATTGAAAAACTCACTAGGCCATTACAGACATATCGATATCTCTGTCATATAGTCTGTTAGTAGATTTAAAGAGCATTAGCATGCTTATCGTAGTGTTTGGAGCAAGATGATGGAGATAGTTTCAGTTTTCTCGTGACATAAGTCAACATTCATTAATAACCATGTGTCATTAAAATACTATAATAGTGAAACAGGAACTTTATATAATTTTGCTAGTAACTCAGAGATAGACATCACTAATCAATGACTGTTATAGGTTTGAGAAAAATGAAATATGACTCATGCTAGTGTACCCATCAGTTCGGTTCGATCTGATCGGTTTTGATTAGGACTGATATTAGTACTGGTAAGAAAAAGAGCCTATCGGTTACAACTCGGCTCTATTTATTAATAAGCCACTCACTTTAAAATCCTTTAATCGTTTAGCATGTTCTTCAGTTAATTCATTCTTATTTTCAGTAAATAGTTCATAATAAATGATAGTACTTAAAACAATGAATATAAGAATTAAAAAAGAAATTAATACTCCTAAAAATCAGATAGGAAATTTGAATTTTATTATTTTCTAAAATTTCTTATGAGTACCCATAAACATCCAAAATTGCAAGGCAGAAAGATCTTGATCATCGAAATATTCGATTGATATTGATCGAGTTAACAGACTTATACGAGATGAACCATAAGATGAATTGAACATACGAAATTATGAAGATTTAAGATATACTGAAATATAATTTTGCGCTGTTACCAAGTCTATCAACTCTTTTTTTCTGATCATTTCATAGAAAAGATACTCGATTATTAGATTAGATTTAAATAAAAAATTATTGATAAAGTTCAATTTATTATTTATTTCATAGCATAGATTTTTCGTTTTGAATTGAAAACAAAAACATTAAAATAGAAGCATCAAATCGAATAGATATAAAAATTTGATGAAATTATTGATTCATCATAGCAACATGTTTACAATTTATTTATATATTGAATATCTAATCATATTGATTATGTAACCTTACGAAAAATTTTTCACAAATGAATAATTGTTTTCTCTTTTTTAAAACCTAATTTATCCTATGGCTGTGTATGATATTGCAGAAATTATTAAGATAAATTTAAGCATCATAATTATCCCTGTGGCACACAATAGTTAAATTATATATATATATTACATATGACATAGTTAGATAGGATACTACAGTTAGAATAAATAATTACCTAGATAATGATAAATTTATTAGAATAGGAATGCGATATTAATGAAAGCATGAAATACAAATAGATATTGTCAATTTAAAATTGTTATATATCTTTCAACTTCAATGATTCATAATAATACGAACAAATCTTCAAATCAAACAGATTAAGTTTGTATAGATGTCAAAATAATATCTGTAGAAGTTTGAAAATGAATTTATTGATTATTATTCTTTGTTATCAACAAGTACGATAATAATATCCATTACATTTGTACTAGTATGTCCAATTTTGAGAAGATTAGCACCATCATTTATTTCACTCAAGTATGTATATGTATCATGTTTATCAAGTGATATATGAGCTCGTTTGATGTCGTCCTCATTGGTAATCATACCGTTAAATGCAAAAGCACCAGCTGCATCAGTCGGTCCATCTATTCCATCTGAACCGGCTGCTAATAATAGTATAGATATATCCTCATTATCATTGTCAATAGTTAATGCTGCAGATAATGCAAGTTCTTGACATCGACCACCTTTTCCACTATCATTTTTCATTACAACTGTTGTTTCACCACCTAATAAAAGACAATAACGTTTGTGTTCTTTTGTCAAGGATTGAAAAGCATCAAATGTTGATTTATCAGAAAATAAACAAGCAATATTATCATTATAAATTAACTGTGATGGTTTTATTGTGACAAGTTCAATAATACGACGGCCAACTTCGCGTGCTTCACCTTGTAAACAGGTTGTTGTAATAAAAGGAACGTAGGCGAGTGACTGACGACATAAATGAGCAGCTGCTTCTAATGCAATACGATTGCTACCGACAATAGTATTATGAATTTGTTTAATTGACATTCTTCAAAGATAAAAATAAATAGTGATTTTATTTTATTATAATGTGGGTATTTGACAATTCTAAGTTCAATGAGTAGTGAAAATGAAAACAAAAAGAAAATTACTTATCGACTCTTATCATATGAACTTAATATAGTAGTTAGTTCTTTTCACGTTAGCTGAATTATTAAGCTACTAATTTTATTTAAGCCCTCAGTTTCTAACAGTTTCGTTTCCGTGCACTTGTACAATTCAGCTACATAGTCCAGAATGGAACAGTCATAATTTCTAATAAATAGGATTAAATAACAAAATTCAATAGAATCAGTTCATAAAAAAAGAGCCAGTCATCAATTTTAGTTTTTTGTGAAAGGAGCTGAATGATCGAAATCAATTCAGTTATTTGATTGGAAAACTATCATATATCGATTATTACGAAGATAAAATACACTCACATATTTTGATCATTGTTTGTATTTTCATTTTCTTTTAAATGTTGAAGAAATTGCGTAGGGATACTATTCATAAGATCATATTTATTGAAAATATCAAGTGCTGGTCGATTTTTACTGCCACTATAGAATGTTGGACCAGATGCAATGAATTCAAGTGGATCTCCAATAACATCCGAAAGAATTAATCCAATAATCTTTTTTTCAAAAAAGAAACATGTAAACAGAGAAAAACAAAACAGCATTTACTAACAGTTGTTGCTTTAGCTATTCGAGCAAGTCCACCATTTTTAAGTTGACTCATAGCTTGTCGAACAGTATTGAGTTCTTGAATATTTGCTCCTTTACTTTGTAGTAATTTTATTAGTTGAATTTCTTGTTCTAATTGAAGAGCATCAATAGGTAACGGTAATAATGCTGAACCACCACCTAAAGTAATCACCTGTTAAAATTAAACGAACACCTTTAATTCAAAAACAATAGGGACTTGAGTTTTTTCTTCATACTCTATATACATATATATTTATTTATGTTGATGATTGACTGACGTCATTTCAAGTGCATGTCACAATCTATTTGAAAAGGATCGAATATTTTCTAAATCACGCATTGCATCTCGAATTGTCTTATATATACGCACTTATATCTTTAATTATGAGCTGAGGAAAAAAGAAACTTAAATACGATTAAAAATTATATCACGCAAGATAATTTCTTCAAATCTTCATTAATGTCGTTCATACTTTTCATGCTAACTATTATCAAAAAAGAAAAAAAAAGAAGCAAGAAAAGAGGGGGAGAGAGAGAGAAGAAAGAAATAAAATCTTACTGTTATTATATCTGTATATAAAAAACGATAGAATAAAGACATATAAACATATATTATTTCAACAAGATCATTTAGCCCCAGTACTAAACTATTTCATTTCATTCAACACATTATGGTATCTTTCATGCAACTCGTCTGCGTCACCGGTAAAAACTTACTAATAATCTATCAATATGAATTCTTCTTTTCTTTTTCTTTTATATTTTATTGAAGGTTTACTTCTTGTATGCTATGTTATCTATACTCAACCAGCAGCTATATCATCACCATTACTGGATGAACAAGTCAATTTAATGAAACGTCGTATTGATGCTCATGCGCGTACATCTATTCCTCTTTTTCGAGGATCAAATTTAGGTATTTTTGTACGCAAACGTCCTCATTCACTATTGTCTGAACATTCAACAATTCGACGAAGAGATATTCAATCATCAAGTAACGAGGACAATATTTTGGCTGAATTATTATACAACAATGAACAATTACAACGACGTTTTGATGACTATTCAGAAAACCCAGGTCCGATGTTCGGCCGATAAAAACTTTCTTGTACAAGAACACAGAATAAAATAAATAATAATAATGAATTATTTTCTTTTTTTTTTTTTTTTTTGTTGGTCTACAATATATCACCTGAAATGAGTACTAAGAGAATATCATCAACACACATTGTATTTGAAATCATTGTTTGAATAAGTTGAGCAGTATTCATTGCTGCTTGGTCGGGTAAATTATGTTCAGCACCTTCATGAACATCAAATGAACAATTCCATGATGAATAAATACCAGTTCTAAAACAATTCAATTACGATCAACATATGTATATACATACATATATAAATCTTTCCTTTTAGCTTGCTCAATTGCACCAACAGGAACACTAGCAATACCTTTGATAATATGCTCATGACAAAGTTCATCGACAGCTCGACACATACCTTATGAAATATAAAAGAATATATATATTATTTCTACTTAATAACACATCGAAACTCTTGTGTGTACCTATAGCTGCTTTACCAAATGCTGCTACATAAAGATTATGGTTAAGTATGATATGATTATTTCCAATATGTAATTCTGCTATTCCATTATTTAAATGATTATTATTATTATTATTAAAAACAAGATGATGTTTAACACATGTATATGGATCAACAGCATTAATAGCCGTTCGAAATAATTTCAATACATTCGATTTCATATCAATAATTTTTTTAATTATCTTTTTTTTTTTCTTTAAATTTCTGAAATATATGTATACATTTACACTCTTTTTAAAAACATTATATAGCGGAGAGGTGAATAAATAATATTAAAATATGACCGCACAAAAAAAAAAGAAGAAAAACAATAGACAATTCACAGTTGATTGGCATTAGCCAGTACTTCGGGTTTAATAAAAATGTTAGCCGGAAAATTAGGCGTTTGTCCTTGTACTTCACGTAGTGCTTGTTCATGCCATTGAAATGCAAGTAGAGCAGCTGGTACAAGACCACATTGATTAAATGTTATTAATTGTTCATCTTGACTTGAATAAACTCGTCGATCACCACTTGATATTAATGTAAATGGTAACCAATTATGTACAAGAATATGTGAACGTAAATAATCAAATAAAGATGAAAGTGAATCATTTGATTGAAATATAACTTGTATTATTATTTCATTAGGCATTCGTATACGTATAACTGTATATTTATATTGAACATATGAATCAGATTTTTCATCACGTCCACGCATTGCTTTTGTTCTTAACATTTCTTCTTTTTCAATAATATCTTTTTGTCGTTGTTTTTCACGTAATACATCTCCAACAGTTGTTTGATAAAATATTGGATCTTGTGGTAATTGTTGTAAAGGTGGTACTAATGAACGTTCTTTAGTTGGTTGAAAAATTTTTAAATTTCTATCAAGTTGTACTTGTATTGGTTGACCATTCATAAGTGTATCTCGTGCTATTTGTAATGGTTCAATAGAACGTTCTTGATAAACAATTGATTCTTTATCATCAGATAAGATAAATCCACTAGCTTGAAGTAATTCGTAAGCATATTTTAACGATGCAACTTTCTAAAAATATCAAAAGAGAAAAAAAAAAGAATGAGAATATTAAAAAAAAAATAAATTATAGATATAATTTTACATCAAGATAAACTTTATTTTGTAATCGAATTCGACGATATTTTTCTTCATCGGGATTACTTATAATATTATCGAAATATTTACATATAATTTCTTTACAAGCATTTGATTTTTCTTGATCTTTTTGATTACATGTTAAAAATAAAAGTGTAGCAGCAACGAGAGGTTCAGAATCAATTTGTAATCGAAGTGTATTTTCTATTTGTTGTTGTAAATCATTGTATGGTAAACAAACATCATCACCAAATACATCGGGACATTTAAAAAGAAAATTTGAAAGATCAACCACCGGAGAATTTTCTACACTAACCTAAAATAATATAAAACGAATTAATGAATAAGAAAAGAAAAAATTCGATTTGAATATACTTGTCGATTGCCAAAATAATGTTCTTTTAAATCAAGTGCACGTTGAAATTGATTTTCAAGTGCTTTTTCTTGCTCGAGTTCACGTTGAGCTTGACGACGAATACTATCAGCAGTACGACTACCTAAAAAAATTTTTAATTAATGAAAACAATAATTGATTTATGTTTAATTGTCTCGTCGAATTTGATTCAATTTCGAAAATATTATAATGGATGGATGATCGAAAAATAATTAGGCAAAATGTTTATTTAGTTTTTAGCCTGTTATAAAGGAGTCCATAGAAATTTGAAAACATTAGATTAGAATCGAAAATTTTGTATTCTTTCTGAATGGTATACAGATGATTTGTTTGCTGAAAATCATTTGTCAACAGTGGGTATTTCGAGTAAGAAATGCTATGTTAATTTGGGCAGTTTTTCGATTTTTTTTGTGGGAAATAGATTTCCTAAACTGAACTGAATCACTCCTGAATAATTGTTCTAAAACTATTGATTCTTATATGACTTGGTGAGGAACAATCTCGCTTTTAATTCTATGCTAAAATATTTTTAATATAACATATATAGGAAAGGAGACTGTTGTTGTAAAAACATGAATTTTCTGTATTTAAACTTTATTTACGTTCCTCTAAAAGTTTGCAATTCATAACTCCTACACTTGATGTCCTAGAGAGACTTTGAACCTATAGATTTGTAAACAATACAAAATTTATATAGGCTCGTTTAAGAAACTGAAAAGTGAATGAACATTTCGTTTAATTACTTTTCGTGCATCGATTACATATCAATTTGTTGTACTTTTAAAATTCTTCAAAAATACTTTTGCTTTTTTTAATTTTTTTCTATTCTCACTTGGAGCTCCTGATTGTTGCCAAGATGATTGTTGTTGTAGACGTTGTTGTGCTGCTTCAGCGGCAGCTCGAGCTGCTGCTCCTCCATCAGAATTTTGTCGTGTAGATGTTTGCGGACGTGGTTGGGATTCTACACTTCGAGGAGTTGATGTTTGCTCATTTAATTTATGTCCTTCGCCAGCTTTAGCGAATTTGACCTCACCTTTCAGTTTTGAAAAGAATTTCTTAATATTAGACATATCTAGAAAAGAAAATAATAAAATTTGTATTTGAGATATAATTTTCATTGCTTGATCTTGCTCATCATTTTTTTTTATTGAGAAGAATGAATGAATATAATTTCTAAAACAAGCAACCAAAAAAAAATGTACGATAGATAAGTAATCGAATATAAAGATTGACGACGTATACCACTCTAGAGTATAGCAATAATCTCGAAGAGAATAATATATCGTCGTCGATGTGGCTGAGTGACTGACTGACTGGCTGATCATGTGACATTTATGTACAAAACAACATACACAGATATCGATATACACACAAATACACAAAACTGGATAGACTTCAGATATGAAAAAGAAAGGTACGTTATATTTAAGGATATATGTATATATATACATATATAGATATATAGTTTTCTTCAATACTGTGGTTGAATTTCTGTAATTGTAACAGCCACAGCTGGAATAGCGAATGGTTGATGTGAACGAATTTTTGCATGTGTTAAAAGATGTTGTTTGAGATTCGTTGATTGGGCAAAACGACGACTGCAGCCATCAAATGGACAAACATAAGGTTTATCACCTGTATGTATTCGAACATGTGTACGTAAATTAAAATCAAGTGAAAAACGTTTTCCACATCCTTCAAATGGACATTGAAATGCTTTTTCACCAGTGTGTACAAGTTGATGACGACGTAATTTAGAACTTTCAACAAATGATTTTTGACATTCATGACATACATGTACACCTTAAATACAAATAGAAATAAATTGAGATTAAATATATATATTGTGTTTTTTTATTTTTTGTTGTTCTTACGTGGACCATGTGTATGTAAATGTTTATTCATTGATGCTGTATCACGAAACATTTTTGTACAACCTGATTGTGGACAACGTATTGTTTTAGGTTGATCATCAGTTGGCAAATGTGTACGACGTTTACGATGTGGTTTAACAAGATTTTGTACATAATCAGGATTAGAAAAATCTGGTGGAACAATTAATGATGAATCACCATCAAGTGAATCAACAATACCACTTAAATTATTATTTGTATCATTTCCAACACCTAATTCATCGAGATCTTCATTTGATGATGATGAATCATCATCATCGTCATCATCCTCATCTTCATCATCATCTGTATCACTTTTATCAAGATTTTCTTGTTTCTTTTTATTATTATTATTATTTGTTGTTGTTGTTGTTGTTGAACGACGTACTGTAGAAGATTTTTTATTAGTATTATTAACATTTTTTGTTGATTGTTGACGTGTTCGTCCTCGTGATGTTGAATTTATTAAATGAGCTACATTATGATTCATATTTGACAATTGATTATTTTCATTATCACTATCCATTGATTCATCATCAGATCCACTTTCATCATCGGAATCTGTATCTGAATCATCTCCTGTTGGATCATGATGTAATGGATTGACACCTGCTTGACAAAGTGCTTGTAATATAGCTGCTTGATCATATGATGTTGTTGGATTATTATTCATTGATTTATTATCTCCACTAATGCTACCCATAATAACAATATTACCAGTTGTACCAAGATTTATTTTTGTTGAAGTATTACTTGTTATTGGAAGTTGATTTGTTGTTAAATTTGAAGTAATTTGTTGAGAATTTGATTGTGATGAAGGTTTTACAGGTCGTTTTGATCGTAAGCTGGCTTCTTCTAAATAATAAGAAAATTAAAATGAAAACAATCAACAATGATCTTTGTATTCCGATAGAGAATTTCTTATCGAATTAGAAAACTTTCAGTAGATAGTACAGAGAAAAACAAACATAGAGCTATATCGTTAATGATTATTTAAAACTCAAGTAAATTCTAATATTTATGTAAATGATTTGTCTTTGTAATTTTAACTCAGAAGTTTCAAAATATTTGCTATTTATAGACTCTATTCTATAGTAAAGAGGGAATAATCTATTATATCAATTTACCAGAAAGTTGTTGTTCTTCATTTTTAATTTTTTTTATTGATTTTAATCCTGTTGTAGAACGTCGTTGTTGTTGTTTTTGTTCGATATCTTTAGTTGATTCCGAAAGAATATCATTTAAATTATTATTATTTGTTGATGATAAAGATTTCGTTGGTGATAATATTTCTTGTTTCGGTTTTCGTCCTCGTCGTTTAGGCTCAGGTTTTTGTACTGATGACGATGGTGCTGTTGTTACAACAACAGCTGTAGGTTTCGGACGTCTACCACGTTTAAGAGGTACATTTGTCGACCACATTGGATCATCGTCAAAAGGATGTCTTTGATGATTAAGTGATATAATATTTCCATGTCCAAGTGTTGTTGTTGTACCATTGCCGCCGCTGCCACCACCAGTTTCATCTATTTCATAAACACCTGATTCAACAAATGGAATTTCTTCATCCAAAAAAACAGGATTGTCCATTAGAAAAAATTTAGCACATTATTTAATCAAGTTTTTTTGAAGGAGCAACGGCGCTGGTACCACTGGAATTTGTAGTTAATGTATTCAATAAGTTATGTGATCGTGATCGACCGTGTAATTCAGAATGTGAAGCTAGAAAAAAAAAAACTTTAAAAAAAAAAAATTTTCATATTTATATCGGGTCAAATTTTTGAGATGATCATTGAAAGATTATTTCAAAATGGTATCCGACTATTTTTATCTAACGAGAATTACGACTCTACATGATTCACAGTCAAAATCATGCAGAAACACGTTCTCGAACATAAGCACCATCGTTCTGATGCATCTAAGACTATTCAATTAAAATTTCTTACATTTTATAGACAATTGTTGTATAATGCTACAGTTATAACGGTGCCAAGCAAGAAGAATAGCAATAAAAGTTAATATTAACCAAATAATTAAATAACAAGTAAGACGAAATTCGAAATCGAACTCTATTTTGATAGATTTTTTTTGTTATCTACAATAAATATTGGAATAATAAAAACAAAAGTTTTTTTTTTCTTTTCAAGTTTGACATGTATCTATTTTTCAAAAAGACAAATACAATTAACATACACAACAAGAAATAAACAAATGATAAACACACATATACAGATCATAGTGTATTTTTTATTTGATTTATTTAATAAAGTTATTTCATCTGTATATAGATATTCCTTTTTATTGTTCTTTATTAGTATTATCTTCTTTCATACTTCTCTGAATACTTTCAAGAATTCGTGTTGTTTCTTCATCATCATCAATATGGTTAGTTGATACATTATCATCGGGTTTATCTCTACGTTGAGCATCACCGCTTTCATTGTGTTTTGAATTTGATGATGAATGTACAGGTGATTTTGAATGTTGTCGATGACGATGATGACGTCTAGATGATGATGTTCCAGAATGAGATCGTGAACGACGATGACGACGTGGTGAACCAGAACTAAATATAACAATAATGTTTAGTTCATTTTCTGAGAGATTAAGAATATCAATCCATCCTTCCTATACGGAGTGTCTGCAGAGTACTTCATCAGAAATTTATGAAACCTTCAGGGCAAATAGATCTTGGCAAGTAAAGTTAAAGTTATCATAGATTCAGAGTTTCCAGATGCTGTTTTCTGCAAGAAACTATATTCGATCAAGCTGATCATATTTTTAACAGGTGCGAAACACTGTTTTAGATGGATCTGTTTTCTTAAATTCTGCATATTTTTTGTTCTTCGAATGAAATAGCTAAAATACAGAACATATCCATATAAAAACGCGTATTTTTTTACTACGATAAATCTTGTAAAAGTCACTAATGCAATTTGTTTTTTTTTTTTTTTCATACAAAAAAAGTATCCGAGCCAAATACTCTCTCGTTTATGTGAACAATGTTGTATCTCAATACCTCTTACCATATTGAAGAGACAGAAGGAAAATTTTACTCTTCTTGTAAAAAACTTGTTTTTGAGAAAAACGTAAAAGTACAATCAGTTTTGATTTTTTTTCTCTAAATACTCATCATTTTTCTCTTTCCATTAAAGTTTGAATAGACTTTCAAGCACTATGCATTCGATAACTTTTTCTTCACATTTGACGAGTACTTTTTTTTTTTTTTTTTTATATATCCGAGATGTTTTCAGTTAGAGAAAATCAATATACAAATTGAAAGAAGATGGAAAGCAGTCGGCAGATGTTCACATGGCTGATAAACAAATGAAAAACAGATGATACACTTTTCAAATTTCTAATTACTCGAATAAACTTGATCAGATATATCGAACAATATGTCACGCTTTCTAACATGCGAGTGTCAATCTAATCATAGACTAAAAATAAGACAACTACAAGTAGATAAAGAGTAAATACAATATATTTGTAAAAATCTACAATCAATTGTTTTTGAAAAATCATTTTTTTCCTTGTCAAAAGAAATTTATGTTCATATATCGATAGAAAACACCTCCAAGTATATGTACCAATGAAGAAAACTTTTGATTTTCAAGTTCGGACAAGATGAAGGATACCTTTGCATTATTTTATCAAGGTTATCAATCTATGTTTAAAAGGTTACGTTTTTCTATTGAAGAATGATTTCAAATTTTATTGTTTCGAAAGTTAAACATTGATTACATATTTGTGTATTATAGTATTGTTAAGATTTACCGTGAACGAGAACGTTTACTATGTCGTCGACCATGAGAACGTGAACGTGAACGATGACTACGTGAATATTTAGTTGAATGACGATCAGATCTGAGAAATAGAAAAAAATAAACAAACAAATTTAATATTAAATTTTATGAATTAGTTTTTTTTTAATATATTATTACTTTGATTGTGATTGTCGTCGATCTTTATCTTTATCTCTACTGGAATTTTTTTTTGATGGACTACGACTTCGATGTGATGAACGATAATTATTTCTATCTCTATCATCTCCTCGACGACTATTATTTCGGGATGCTGGTGGTGGTGAACTAAAAGATAAAATAATTTTTTCTTTGTTTTTTTTCATAAAATCTATTTATATATTGTTTTTTATTTACTTTCGACGATTTTGTCTTTCAAGGTCACGTTTTTCATTTAATTCATTAACACGTTTTTTTAAATCAGCTAATTTTTCACGTATTTGTATAAAACCCAAGTGTAATTTTCCACCGAAATGATCAGCCAAACGACGATCATTATCATGTATACCTAAATAAGCTGAACATACTTCACATACACGTAATTTTTGTTGTTGATATGTTGATGCTGGCATTGTTGAACGAAATTCTTGTTCAGCTTCTAATTTAGCTTTTCTTAATGCTTCAACTTCTTCTAATAATTTCATTGATTCATCAACTAAACCTTGTGCACCTAATTCTTCAGCTTTAGCTAATTTTGTACCAATTTGTTCGCCAAGTTCATGAATAGTATTCATCTAAAAAAAAACAAACATAAATAATTTTCTTAAACTATATTATAAATAAATAAATTATATAATTTACTTTTCGTGCAGCTTCTTCGCCTAATTCTTCTTGTGTTTCATGAAGTTTTCGTTTAGCATGTTCAGTTTTTCGATCACATTCAGCAACAAATTTATTTAACATATCCAATGCCTATTATTAAAAGAAAGTATATATATGACATTTTTTAATTAATCTAATTATTATACGTACATCCATTTCATAATATAAATCACGTGTAGCCGCTGCTCGTTCATAATCAGCACGTAAAGCATATTCATGAATTTTTGTACATTCACCCAAATCAACACGCTATAAAAAAGAATGTGTTTTTTTTTTACTATTTTAATTTCAATATAAATAACTTACCGTTCCAGAAAGAATTTCATGTGGACAACAATTTAATAAAAATGGTCGACAAACTCGACGATCTTCAAATGACATACTTGATTTAGTTGAACCTGTAATATGTTTTTATTATATAAGAATAACAATTATATAAATATAAGTGTTTTAATATCTAGATATCTCATAAAATAACGCTCGAATACGTACCTGATCTCATCCGATACGTACCCTATTATGCTATGAAGAAAGTTTTTTCTATCGAACCATAAGATAATACAAAAAAATATATAAAATCAATAAAAATGAAGATATCTTATTAAGATATCAATTCAATGTTATAGATTATATATTTTACTCACACAGAGGAGCCACTTCTCGATTTATTATTTATATATACTCACGATATTTATTTTGTAGTAGCTGCTGCTCGCAGAGCTTATTAAACCCAGCATAGACATATTCATCATGACATCAGCTAAAAACACAGCGTTCAAAACAGAGAATGTGTGACAGATTAAAAATGAGATAGTGGATATTTATAGTCAATTTAAAACAAAATATATGTACAATGGACACTCTTTTTATCCTCAATGAAGAGAAAAAGAGCGTTTTTATCATTTAACATAACAAAACTAAGAATAAAATTTTCTTTTTTTTTTTCAATCGAACTGTTTTTGATATTGATCAAAAAAAATAAAATAGTTAATCAAAAGACAAGAATCTGATTTGTTTTTTCTTAAGTTTAATTAAACATACCATTATCGGTTCCCATTAATTGATCTAGCATTGCTCGAATTTGATCGCGAGCAGTCATTCTCGCTGATTCTTATAAAAGATAAATAGAATAATCTGAAAATAAAAGTCAAATGTCATGAATGCCGTAGCAGGTGGCGCTTTATCGATTAACTTGCAATGTATATGCCTGTTTTCCGCGCCGAGATGTGACCACTACTTTTTTTTATTGTTTCAAAACACCATCGTTATCTTACTTTATCAGAACATATGGTAGAGGCTAGGCAAACGATAGTTAAGAACCTATTTCAAAATGTAATTTTATAAAATTGAAATAAGACTATTTTGTCCTTAGGTATTGTTGCAGATAGAATATAAAATTATCGTCGTGATTATAATAGATGACACTAGCTTCCATTTCAAATTGATGTTAATAGAATGATAAAAGATTGAATAGATGCCGAGCGTTCAAGAATGATATAGATATACAAAGAACGAGAAGAAGTTCTACTTTAATCATAGATTTAGTTTACTGGAATATTAAAATATATGACTTAGCTATTTAATATTCTTTATTCAAGCACCAATAAAAAAAGAACAATAAAACAACAAATTGACGTGTTTATTCGTCGATTTTGTCATGTATTTGCTTAGTGTTTTCGTATGTTATTTATCTATGTAGTTCATAAGATCGCTTGACAAATCCTTTTAATATAATTGATATTACAATAATTCTTTTCATTATTTATCACTGTATAATTAAAGCCAGAGATGTGCTGAGGTCGCCAAGATTGGGAGGGCGGGGGGCACCATTCAGGAAAATGATGAGGAAACTTCTGCTAAAATCGATCAGCTTCGGGAGAGTCGAGTAGTTTTGTGTGAGCTGATTAGCAATAAACCACATAAAGTGTCGGAAGTTCACTGGGAAAAATCGAAAACTTCTTAAGATTGAGGGCTACTCTCGCTCGAGACACCCTTGATTAAATTTCTTTTCGTAATATAAGACTTTCCTTAGTTAATTAATTTTCTCACCAAATTGGAACTTTATTTAATATATTTACGTCAAAATATGCCTAGTTTTTAGCATTTTCAGCTGAAAAAACATAAAAGACTGAGATGAACATTATTTCTGGGCTTTTTAAATTCTAAAAACTTCTTTAATTAAAAATCATAAAAAATAAATGAGACACAGTAGAAGATGTCCCTGAAAAACTTCTACTCTTGCACATAATAGAAAGCTTGCTGTCTTCTATTGCATGTGGGGGATTTAGATCCTATTAACCCTTTGGTTATAGGATTTTTTTTTGTTTGAAAAATAACGAAAAATATTTGAGTTTTTGTTTAACGATGAATAGATTTCATATCGTGACTAATCACTATGAGCAAACTATTGAGAATCAATATAACTATCATTATCATCATCACTTTTTATATTTTCTAAGCTTATAAAAATGATTAAACTCATCATGACATAATATTCCACTGTGACTTTTATCTGATTAAACGAAGACAACTTTCATAAAGACTTGGTTTTCTATCAAACTGATCGATTGTATACATTGATGTCTTCTTATTATAGAAAGAACAACATTTATGGATTCTAATTTCATTTTAAATATTCCTTGAATCCAATGAATTTCATAGGAGCAAAACCAATTTTTTTTTATTTGTTAATTTTTTGTTCGTGGCTTTTGTTAAATGAAAAAGCAATTAATATTGTTTATTATTTTTCTAAATGAAATATAAAAGCTATTTACATAATTCTCTTATTAATTGACTTTTATTGGAATATACATAGGTCATTCATGATTTCTTTTACAAGACAACAATAAACCTAAACTGAATTAATGAGGCAAATATCATAAATGACAAAAAAAAAAATTATAGAGAAGATATTTTATGAGATACAATAATATAAGAATGATATGGAATGAGATAAATCAAGAATTATTTCTTTTGCATTCTAGTTTAAGTGATTCATCTGAAATGAGAAATAACACACAAGTAAATATTTTAAATTGTAAACCATCACCACCATCACCCAAATTGTTGTGTATAAATAAAAATTTTAATAATCGTTCTATTTATCATCATTGCTTGAATATTTTTTTATTTGCTCTTTAGCTAGAAATTCAAAATAACATTTTTGATATTCAATAATATTACAAATATATATATATATATATCTTACCATCTTTAATATGTTTATCAATAGCAGGATGATGTTTAAGTACAAATGGACGGATAAAACGATGATAGAGAAAATGAGAGCCACCTTTTTCTCCTGGCATCATTAACCATATAAGAAGAACACATTTACCAAGCCAATAAAATGGTAACGAATGAAAGAATGTATATCCAATATATTCAGCAAATCCAAATGATGCATAAACAATCCAATAGATTAACCATTCTGTATCATCATGTGTGACTGCTGATTCAACAGCTAAAACTCTTTAATGATTAAACATAAATGAACATCTTTCTTTGTTCAATTTAAATACGAATCAAAACTTACGAAGCATATGCTGGATAAATAAATCCAATAAAATTACAAACAAAATCTTTAGCCCAACCAAGAACCAAATAGATGGCAATAAAACCAAGTAAACCTAATAGAATACGAAACAGTTATAAGATATTACACATAGAAATAATATAGAGATACCTAAAGCAATGCGTTCACGTTTAAGCTTAGTCTTCTGTTCAAGAAGACTCCAGAATGGAGTAAGTGGACCTTCATATACATATCCTTTAAGTATTCCTTCAAGTTTTTGAATATGATTACGAATTGCAGCTGCCATTTTAATAGACCTTGATAAAAATAGGCAATAGAGAAATAAATAATTGTAATTAGAACAAGGAGAAAAACAAAACTAGAAAGTATTGGATGAATAAATGAACCAATCCTACTACTAAATACATTGTTCCATTTATCCTATAACCTCGAACGTGGAGGACGAAGAAAATGACTGAAGTGAAACATGTAAGCCTACGGAACGGAAGGAGTCTTACTCATTCCATAGAAAAGCTTCAAACCAATCAAAATGCATATCGTTATTTTACCATATAATTTAACTATATTCTCGTCTTTTTCTTTTATTGATAACTATAGTCAACGGCTTAGAGAGAATATCAGTTTTCAATCTTTTAGCTTTATAAGTTGTTTTACGGTATCATTCTCTTGTTTCGTCTTGAAAAAAAAAGATACTTCGGATTGTCTTAAATTAGAAAAGAGAAACAGTAATAGCCATTTTTGAATTATTGAGAAACATCAATCTTTATCTTATTTCATTCAAAACGTTTCATATTAACCTACGATAGTATATTGTGTTAAATTGTATTTGAAGCTCAGTAATGAAAATGTAAGAAAAAGTCGTAGAAAATTTGTTTCTTTTTTGCGTATGAAGACAATAATTCAATTCTTCATTATATATACAACTCAGTTTTGTCAATGATTACTTACTGGTGATATTAATAATGTGTGTAACTACATGATCTATATAAACGACGTTTTGAAAACCAAAGCATTATGGTCATATGAAAGATGAAAGAAAGCAGAAGAAAAAAATTTGCATAATAAAAATGTCACATAAATATACTTGATATTTACAAGATGTTCAAATATGGTTAATAGTAAATCTGACAATGTCAATCACTCTTATTTTCTCATATGAATCTAGAATAGAATCAATAGATTATAATGACGAGACCTTGAATAACAACCACTTAGAATGTTTTTATAAAATTCAAATTGATTTAAAGAATTTATTTTCTTTTTCAAAATGAACTTGAAAAAAGTAAATGGTAATAAGAACGAATTTCTCGTTTATTTGAACTAGCTAACAATTGCTAAACACTATTTTTGACAATTATTTCAGCATTTCTTTACGTTGAAAGGTGCCTCGATATTCTACGTATATATGTAATTGATCTTTTATTTTCTCTCTCTTCCTCTTATTCATGCTAGCATATACCGACACATATTTCTCTTGTCAAACTCTATATTTAGAATGATTGCATTATTATTCATATATATTTTACTTCTTCAATCTATCAGTGAAAACTATTGAAATTGAAAAATGTGTCTGACAAAGAATCCTGATTAATGTTACTAGACAATAGAGAGTAAACGAAAATCAAATGACAAAAAGAAATTTATATTTTTGCTAATTTTTTTTTTCGAAAATAAAAATCTTTAAGTGAAAATTGCATACATTGTTTTTATATGTGGTCAATTAACCATTTGGTACGGTAATAATCTTCATCATAGTAATCTTCTTCGAAAGTGAACAATCTTTCTTCCTAAGAAAAATTTCTGGAATCATGCTTTTGACGATTTTCAATTATTTTTTTTTGTCTTTTCTCGTTCTTTCTCTTTCATAAAATACAATCATTGGTAAAAGTGTCGAAACAATTATTTATTGTCATCTATGTTTCTTCATTTGTACAAATATAAAAAAACGAAAACATTTTGATTGTCCTCAGTTAAACAAGTTGTATTAGTATGTGCAAAAAAAAGTTATGTATACCAATCACAATCTAGGATTCCTTCAGGATAGTAGCTGTTTAATTTTCTTTCATGAATGTATGGTTTTTTTCTATATATCGGATAAAATACACATCAATATATAAAAATGAAGAAAGTCTTCTTCTGTTCAGTTCAGAAAATAGTAGAAACTTGAAAGCAGTAAGCTGGTGATTCGATCTGGTTGTCGAATTTTTTTTACTTCTGACCGAATGTAATCATCATCTACACAGCTGACCATTAAATGCAATCAATGAATTTCTACTTGTGAGTTCTTACTATTTTCCTTAGTTTTCAGGTTGGAATCAACACGTATCGCTTGATCTGAGTAGACCAGTCTCACAAAAAATATTTCAGAATTTGAGATACCATTCTAAATTCTTCACTCTCATAGAGAGTAATACACGAAATAAGCGCTATTTATCGGTGACTAAAAAGACTTTATACTTTGATCTTGTTATATAAGTAAAGAAATACGAAATACTGCATAATTGTCAGAAAATTTTTGTTTTTGAATAACTACAATTCGTGCTGATAAACAAAATGTAACTTAGTCATCTTTTGACTCATGCAAATAGATTTTATTGCAACATTATCTTTACATGTTTACTCATTTTGAATATTTAATTATTAGTTATTGTTCAATAAGTATATATATATATAAATAATCAAAAGAAGATTGGTAAATTCTGAGGTTTTTAGACAAGCTTGAGATTATTGTTTTTTCTAATACTAAAAAATATTACATAGTTCTACGAAACTTTCATGAAACTAGACAAATTAAAAACATCCAGTGAAAAATTATTATGCTGATAGAAACAATCATACTATAAATTCAGCATTGAATAGTAACATGAGATTATATTCTTCTTTAAGTGTAATGAACGGTAAACAATAGTAAAAAAATTCAAAACACAATAGACAACTAAAGGTGAAGTATGAGCGCGAGTGAAGACACAGTATTGATATATTCTTCACCTTTTTCTTTAGCAACCAACCTACTCCAACATCGATGCTCACACCATATCTCTTTATTATCTTTTGGAGTATAAACATGCTTTTTTTCTCCTGTGTACTAACGATCAATGTAAAAGTTAATCATGCGCATCATCCTATGTGAAGGTTTTGTTATGCAGTTATTGCTGTGCAAAGCTTTCATCGTGTGCGTCTTACCGTGCAAAAGCTTGGTTGTATATATTTTTCCGTATACGTGTTTCTTCATATACACTGATCCGTGTGTATTGTTCTGTGTGTAGGTTTCGTCGCAAGAGCCTTTCTTTGTCCCATTTTAATCGAAATAGTTCTATGATTTCGACTAAAAATAAAATTTATTGCATTTGTCTAATTTAAAAGTCCATTTGCAATTCATGATATCGTGAAACACCAGTGTTTTAATAAATTTTTTTGGAAGTATTTTGTTTTTAATATAAAAGTCATTAGAGATATGAATTTTCGTTTAAATATTTTGAATTTATGAGTTTTTATCAGTAGACTTTTTTTATTATAACACTCAATATGTATTATTTGTTTATTTAACACTGCTCAATTCGTTAAAACATGTTTTCAGTTATGACCAACAACGCTTTCAACGAGCCCTACAGTCTTACTTTATAACTGGCTCTATTGTTATAACCAATTGGTGGAAGACAAATCTAGATAGATAATTCAAGGAAAGTAATTAATAGTCTTCGTTCATTTTTTATTTTTATTTCATACTTCGAAAAGCGAATGTATATGTTGTGCATTTATTTGTAGTAGATTGATTTTTCAGTCAACATTTTCTTTATTTTAGAGAAAAGTTCGAAAATTCTTAGTCTTCTTGAATATGGCTCGTTTATTCTTAATTGCTGCATGTTTCATTCTATTGATGATTGGCTCTTTTGCCGATAAGGAATATGAAGAACATGGCCACGATCATCATCATCATCATGGTGATCGTAAGTTAATTAAGTAGTAATTCTTTGTCTATGTTAAATAGAAATTTTTTTCAGATGATCAGCATGATCACGAATCACACAAAAAATTATTTACTGGTATTTAGAAATTTTTTTATTTTTGAATGAAATAAGAATAAAACATTTCAGGAGATGAAATTGATGGAACTGAAGGAGAACAACGTGAAAAACTTCGTATAATTGCAAATAAAATCGATGAAAATCAAGACGGACAAATATCATTTGATGAAATGCGTAGTTATACTGTAGAACGTATCAAGTTTGTTTTGTTTTCTTTTTTTTTTCTTCAATTTTCGATAATGTATTATTTTCTTTTTTCTTTTTAGAGAACAAAATAATCGTGAAGCAGAAGACTTGATCGGTACACTTGATCCAAAAGGAACAAATAAAATAACATTTAATGCATACGTTCGTGATAGTTTTGGTGATGTTGATATCAGTCAATTAGAAAAAGCTGATAAATCAGATTTAAATACACGTGAAACTCGACGAGTAAGAATTTAATTTAATTTCTAATATTTTATATAAATATATATATATATATATATCTTTTTTTATTTCGCTTTCCTTTTTAAAGTTATATAAAGTAGATAAACAAAAATGGGAATACCTTGACAAAGATGGTGATCAATCATTATCTTATGATGAATTTCGACAATTTCTTCGACCAGAAGATGATAAAGAATTAAGTAAACTTGAAATTGATAGTATGATTAACGAATATGATGAAAATAAGGATGGAAAACTTTCTACCGCTGAATATTTAAAAATGACAGGTATATTCAACAAACGAAAAACAAAGGTACGAATAATGACAAGATTTTTTCTTCGTTGTTTTGTTTTGTAGAAGCTGAAACTGGCCAAGCAGAACCTTTAAGTCGAGAACTTGATACAAATAATGATGGTTTTGGTGATTTTCAGGAATTTACTAATTATTATTTACCATCATCATCATCATCAATTGATCAAGAAACTGAGCATTTATTAAAGGAATGTGATACTAATAAAAATGGTTATTGTACACTAGATGAAATTGTTCAAGCTTATTCATCATTTGCAGGTTCACAAATAACAGATTTTGGTGCCGATCTTGAAAAACCAAAAGAAGATCTTTAAAATAAGTCTTTATTTTCCAAAAAATCTAATTATTACTTTAGTTGCAATACATTCATATCGATCAAAAAAAGAAACAATTTAACTCAATCATTTTTAATGTTTATTAGCTCTTATTCTGTTAAATAAAATTAATATTCTCAAACTGTTTTTCTTTTCTTTTTATTTGAATCAAATCGGTGTAAATTTTGTCATATCGTTATAATGACATATTCTTACATGATCAAGTAGAATATGAAACGGAGGTTTTAATGTTTGAGGAATATTTTTGATTATTTGTTCAAGTTTTGTTTTAATTTCATTATTTTCTATATCTTTATATTGATAAGCTAATGTTAAATGCCAAGGTTGTTTATAATTATATAGAATTTTTGCTTCTTGTAAATCATTAGATCGAACATTTTTAATAATAGTTTCAAAGTTTTGATTATAATCATCTTTAAACAGTACTTCAATTAATATACATTTCGTACAGACGAATTTTTCAGCTGTACATATCATTGAAGTATTTTGTTCTTTTAATTTATGTTGTTCTTGTTCTAACAGAGATTTATGTTCATCATGAACATTTTCAAGTGGATTTATAGTAACATGATAACTTGTTATTGGTAGAAATGAATAATATTTTGTAAGTTCACTTGAAGTGAGATAATTAACAAGATCAATTAATTGTTTTGATAATGGATGTATAGCATGTGAGACAATCGTATAACCAGGAAAATGAACATAATTACCATGTATATCAATCTTCCTTCGATAGAGTTGAATAGCAGTATTCGTATTTCCCATCATATTTCCAAATGCATAACTAGGTTAGAATGAATAAAAAACAAACTCCTGATATTATAGACGGTTAAAAAAAGAACTAAGGAAAGCAAAAAAATTTTTTTTTTCTGCTATGCAACTATTACGTTTTGATTGGGCAAGTTAATGTTTATTTGTGAAATTTTTATGAGATTTCATGTCTAAAGAAATCTTTGAAAGATTATATATTTAGTTGTTTTTTTTTTTGTTATACTAATATTAAGTAAAAAACGAACTGATTCTACATTGTATTAATAAAATTACAACTATTGTATTTTTTTCTTTTATTTTAGATGGTGAGTCATCAAAGAAAAAAGAAATGTCACGCAACAAATACTATACTGTTTTTTCTTTTCTAGCTTCCTTTAACACTTCTTCGAACTGCGGTTTATCATCCTATGGTGAGTATCAGTGTCTAACATGGGTAAAGTTTTCGTGACCTGACCCGAGTCGAATTCTGATATAGGCTACTTTTCTCTTTCTCTTGAGAAAATCAATTTCCCAATCCTGTTTTTTTCTTTAATTTCATAGTTGGAAACAAAGAATATGTCCTTGATATTTGCAAAGTGTTCTGACTGCAGATCCTGCCCGAGATCCAATCCTTTTTTTCTTAACTTGATCCTATCTGACCCAACCTCATCTGAGTCGAACATTGATGAGTACATTGTAATAAAAGAAAAATTTATAATCATATTTATAGTTGGTGGAATTAAAAAATGGTGAAACATACAATGGACATTTAATTAGTTGTGATAATTTTATGAATATTAACTTGCGTGATGTTATATGTACTTCTCGGGTAAGAATTTTTCGTTATGTGGAAAAGGAATCATTTACATAGTCAATTATATTTTATAGGATGGTGATCGGTTTTGGAAAATTCCTGAATGTTATATACGTGGTAATACTATAAAATATCTTCGATTACCAGAAGATATTCTTGGACTCGTCAAAGAAGATGCCAATGAGAAGTCAACACGTTCAGGACCAGCAACACGACGACCATTTCGTGGTCGTGGCGATGGTGGACGTGGAGGTAAAATAGAAATGAAATATAGCAAATTTGAAGAATAATTCTAGGTTGATTGATTTGTTTTCGTCTACTTTATTAGGACCTGGTGGTCGATCTGGAGGTGGTGGTGAATATCGTAATAACTATAGAGGTAGTGGTGGTGGAGGTCGTGGTGGACATCAAGGATCTCGTGGTGGTGGCCGTGGTGGTGGCCAACAAGGTGGTCAACTCCGTCAAGGACGATAATGATAGGATGATATAAGTTGCAATGATTCTCAACAACATTCAGTATCTAACTTTTCATTGTTCTTTCTCAGATCCACAGGTTGAGTGAATATCATTCCTCAACTTATGAAAAACTTGTTTCGTTTCTAAATTAAACCATTGTAAAGAGATGTAAGCATCACATTTTTTTTTATTATTTTTATAATGATAAACTAGATCAAGAGAATGTTGGAACTTGTCTAACAGCATACAAAAGTATCCCAAAAGTTCAATTGTTTCCTTTAATTCATAGTAAATAGTATAGGGTAAATCCGTGGGTATCCAACCACTTTTTGGGAAAAAGCTTTTTTATGCTGGCTGAGTGTATAATGGATAGAAAATAGATTTGGTCGAAAAAAATTTGTGAATTCTATATGAAATATCAGAGACTCAGGTAATTTTCTGGAAACATCTAAGGAGGAGAAGGATCATCCAGGTTATTACAATGTTTAAAGTTCATATTTTTCCCATAAGTAGGAGATCACTAAACTAACACAACCTCCAAAGGATACTTGTTTTTGAATGTTTTATGACCGAGATATAAAGGTTTTAAAGAGAGTGCATTCTACGTATTTATTGTGATAAAAACGTTTTGGCAAAAATTATGCTAAAGCCATGCTCCTCAAAAATCTTGTCTCGATCATAAAAAGTGAAAAAAAAAGAATCTTGTCGAGGTTGTGCTAGCCTAGTGACCTCCTACTTATGGGAAAAATATGAACTTAAAACATTGTAATAACTTGGGTGATCCTTCTCCTTAGATATTCCTAGAAAATTACCTGAATCTTTGGTAATTCATGTATAATTCACAAATTTTTTTCGGTCAAATCTATTTTCTATCCACTATACGTCTAACCAATATAAAAAATTCCATAAAAAAACTGTTTCCTAAAAACTGGTTGGATACCGATGGATTTACCCATAGCTGATATAGACATTTTAAAAGTACGGAATATATTTTGGATGATTTAAAACCATTGTTTATATATAATGACACATGAAACTGAATTGCTTCTCATATTCTAAATTTAAAGAAATTCATAAAAGAACTGGTCTGATACATGCATGAATAAAGATAGATATGAATAGATTGTTTTTTTTTAAATTTAATGGAAACCTTTAAG